TTATTAGAATTGTTATGTTTTTAAATATTGCTGAATCATACTTTCAACTTTTAGAAGTGAAAACATTAAATAAATTATGGATAGCAACGGTGTGTTATAATATAACTGATTTTTGTGCAATTTAAAATGTTCATTTGTGCAGTGCCAGTATATCTGTATACGTTAATCTATTAAGATTGTTATTGTCAAAAGTTATAGTCAAAGAATACTAAATTTTCTATCAAAAGTTACATTCCAATTTTCTTTTGTATTCGACGACTATCGAATATAGATTTGAATACCCCGATTCTGAAAATAAAGACATTACAATAAACCCACCACTTTATATTATAATTAAATGGAATCACCCAAAAGAAATGATTAGGAATCGGACAATATTTATTAATACTAAGGGGACACCAGCAAACTCTCAACCATATAATAACTGCATATTGCAATATTGGAAATTATAGATATAACGTCATTCATAGTCATAACTTCGGTCGGATAATGGGTATGCACTTGTGACTTGGAGATCACAGTATTCACATTATTCTTTGACATGCAGCTAAAAACAAAGAAGCGCAATTTGAATATTGGAATGAGCCACCATAAATTTCCCGACAAAGATTTGATAATATCATTTATGATACTTTGCTTGTTGCTTGACTCAAAAATACCTCAGAACTTTCTGGAATGATAAATAAAAGACGATCTGCTAGCTGAACCTGTATACGATACTTGATAGTGGGTACCACTGATTTTTATCAACTTTAAAATCACTTGAATTGAAACTAATAATTACTTGACTGGTCTGAATTTACCGCCAAAGATACTGATTTTGAGAATAACCTTTACGTAACGTGATAAATGATTAAATTGTTATTGCTTTATTGTGACCAGTTCTCTATTTTATGCTGATAACAATGCGCATACCTCATACCTAATGAAATTGAACCATATCAACCTTAGCAACAACAACTTACTGTTTTTCGGGTTGTACAAACTTATATTATTACAAACTGCTCGCTTTCATTTACTTAGAGCTCATATTGAATCTGAAATTGTTCTGTGTTTTTGGCCCAATGATCCTAATAATGAATATTAACGTTTATAATTACAGGGCAGTAATTATATTTATAAACAGATTCAGTATGAATATAAATTATGATAATGGTCCGGAAAAACTCCTCCGGGAGAACTGAAACTGCTGCTTTTAGTGTGTTTTTTAACAAAAGTCGTTCAGCTGTGCAGTAGTAAATTCATTTTCACCGTTATCAGTTATATCACCGTTACACTAAGACACGGTACACGTACTCAGTAGTTCGACAAACCCTAAACTTAACTTGTCGTGCATGTCTAACTACAGTACGTGAATCGTTTGATGCACCAATGCAGTGTATAGAATATAAAATTCTTTCACTGTTTATTAATTTTGCAGATGGCAATGCCGGTTAAAATTTTGAATTTGATTGCTAGGTACAAGGTAGTTTAATCGGACAATTTTACTGAAACTTTAATTTAAAGTTTATGTAAACTATTTTGTTCGTCTGCAAAACCGTAAAAACCAACATCACGTGATAATTTTTGGGCGAGCGAATTAATAAAACTGTAAAAGTAAAAGCCGTATTTTGTACCAAATTAAAAAACAAAAAAACTCATTTTCATTTCTATTTTGTTAACGACGATAATGTTTAAAATGAATTTAAGTTCAAAGTTGGCTAGGGCGCCAATGCCTGATCACTGAAAACCTTTTGGAAAAAATATTGAAGATCGACTGTCATGTAAAGTGATTTAGTGTTTATGGTTTAGACTTTAGAATCTATATGCTATCTAAATTAGATAGCACGCCTGAATTGAACGGAAGAAATGCGCGCGATACCAGATACGTGAGCGATTGGGCTCCTTACTATCACATATCGTCATATCAACTATAGTGATATAGTCTCCGCCAACCATAACCCTAACTCAATTCCTAACTAAAGCATATGCACTATGATAAAAACCCTTTTATTGATAACTCTAACGAGAAATTAAACTAACTTCCGTATATTATATAGTCTTAATCTTGACATACGTTGCATGCCACTTTTCGCGCGCGAAGCGCGCGCCGCCGAAGATATTTGGGATACGTAACATGTATCTATCTTAATCTTTTGTCATTCACTCATATCACGTGCAACGTGATCGAGACAGATTAATTCGCGGCATGTAGGTTTACTGTGTTCCTACTTGGGGCTCGGCAATATATAATACCTGATCTCACCAAGGGAGTATTTTACCGTATGTCGCGTGGGGTTATATTAATATTATTCGGAATCAGCTTTCAAAAATACATCGATTCAGAAAGATTTGATATTCATAAGGGGTCGTTCACATATTACGTAATCAATATTTTAGCAATTTTTACCCCCCTCCCCCCTTCCGTAATCAACCGTAATCAAGACCCAACCCCCCTCCTGACAGCAATATTACGTAATCATGGCCTGACCCCCCCTCCCCCTTGACTTTTTTCCTAGAAAACACTTTTCTCTACGTTTCATGATACCCTGATCGTGCTATCATGATAGCATGATCAGGGTATCATGAGTATTTTACCGTATATCGCGTGGGGTTATATTAATATTATTCGGAATCAGCTTTCAAAAATACATCGATTCAGAAAGATTTGATATTCATAAGGGGTCGTTCACATATTACGTAATCAATATTTTAGCAATTTTTACCCCCCTCCCCCCTTCCGTAATCAACCGTAATCAAGACCCAACCCCCCTCCTGACAGCAATATTACGTAATCATGGCCTGACCCCCCCTCCCCCTTGACTTTTTTCCTAGAAAACACTTTTCTCTACGTTTCATGATACCCTGATCGTGCTATCATGATAGCATGATCAGGGTATCACGAGTATTTTACCGTATATCGCGTGGGGTTATATTAATATTATTCGGAATCAGCTTTCAAAAATACATCGATTCAGAAAGATTTGATATTCATAAGGGGTCGTTCACATATTACGTAATCAATATTTTAGCAATTTTTACCCCCCTCCCCCCTTCCGTAATCAACCGTAATCAAGACCCAACCCCCCTCCTGACAGCAATATTACGTAATCATGGCCTGACCCCCCCTCCCCCTTGACTTTTTTCCTAGAAAACACTTTTCTCTACGTTTCATGATACCCTGATCATGCTATCATGATGAGCCGAAATCATTGTTATGATATCCGGCCAAGCACCTTCTAAACTACTTACTATTATAGCCGGATATTCGATCAATTTCTAAATTTTATCACTATCAGAGTGAAATTGAGTGGAATTTGAATTAACATATTGTCAAATTGTCATTATTCTAGTGGGTAAAAAAGAAAATTTTGATTACGTAATCAACTACCAAAACCCCCCCCCCCCCTGTAATCAACCGTAAGCATTTGGAAACCCCCCTCCCCCCTCGGCTGATTACGTAATATGTGAACGACCCCTAAATTGTCAGTGTACAGTGTCGGGGCCCTTTCAGAAAATTTTCGAAATTCGAATATAAAGTTTATTTGGTATAAATTAAAATGGTAAATTAAAATACATGATACAAAAGTGAACGGGTGAGGGTGATACTCGTGAGTCGTGACTCGTAGATATAGCGGTTTTAGCACAACCAATTCGCATCTCATGATGCTATTCTAGGAGAACTCTTTTGTGTTTAGTTAGAGCTGCCAAACTGAGAAATATGGGAAATCTTGGAGCACGATGACCTTGGAGGCTCAGGTCTGTTTCAAATATTCTTTGAGCATGTGTCACAATTAGTTTTCAGTTTTCAGTTTTCAGTTTTCAGTTTTCAGTTTTCAGTTTTGACAGTGTTGAAGAATATAAACAGCTTGAATTTAAAAATTAAATAAAACGTAACAAATTTCATCAATCAATTTCATTGATTATTTCAAACTATGATAAGGGGTCCTACATACAATTACACGTATTACGTAAGCCAGCTAAGCAAAAAGGGTTTAGAAAGGCTAGTAGAGTATAAGGTATACATTACTAAGGCTTACGCCAGTACTATTTCTACGCAATAGTTAGGTGTAATTGTAAAGTGACTTACGGTGGGGAATTGGGAGGGTGTCTAATATTACCAAAAAAATGGCTTACATAATATGTTTTATACATTGTACCCCTTGGTTTATGCATTATGTTAGAATATGGATTTGATCCATAGTTGAAACTGCAATGTATCTTTAGTTATTAATATTTGCACAGCCTCTATAATTTTCAGATTTATGATAAAAACTCAAGATTGAACTAAAAACTACAGCGATCTGTCTCAATAGTTATAAAATCTAAAATATTATTATTTATAAATTATAAATTTTATAAAACGCTGTTGACCGTTGAAAAGCATAACAAAAAGACAAATGCACACGACATAATAATAATAATCATTCAAAGTTGTAAGTTATTCTAACAGGACGAGAATTCGTCGGAGAATCAGCAGAACTCCATGTTTACACGACTTTTAGGGTGAAAATGGTTTTCATAATCTTGTGAAGTCGAAAGATTGCGCAAAATCAGATACAGAATCCGAGAAACCAAGATCATTGGTTTTACTTTTTATTGTTTCGAAGTACATTTTACTTCACAATGTTTCCAGGATTACACCTCAATTCAAGGCCATGAATTGGCAAAGAAAATTCACAAATAAGTTCATAAACTTTATGTCTACAAATATGGGATGAAAATTGAAGATTATCTTAAAATTTGGGGATCGTGTAAAGATGGGGTTAAGCTGACTTGCTCTAATAACTTGAAATAACAATATAATAATAATAGTAGTAGTCTATCTTGGACATTCATATAATGACCCATCCTGCAAAAATTGTGAACAGCGAATAATGATTTCAAACTGAAAATATCTGACTCGGCTTCTCAGTTCGATAAACTTCAACTTGTTATATTAATTTGAGCGCTTTTGCTGGCGCTTACATTGCCAGCAAAAATTGTATGCTTTGGTGCTTTAAATACATTTTATATTTTTTACATCATCAGTCGCGAAGCCAAGCCGTTTTTCATCAATACGAATAAATAAATAGATCAGAGATCGGTAAAAAAAACGTAATTATTATCAAAAATCGTTATCTAGTTAATTTGCTCATCATAAAAAATGAGCTGAATGACTGTGATTGTCAATGGACTTTTAAGTTTTATCATCAGCAACAAATCACTGAATACCTCATCACTTGAGGCATATGTTCTATATTGCCTGCCCGTACTAACTTGTAACGGTAAATAACCGCAAGAAATGGGGAATAACCGCGGGAAATAACCTCAGGAAATAACCGCGGCATCAACAACACTCTAGAGTAGTCACCACGTGTTGTCTGAACAAGTAACGACAGGAAATGATCCAGCTGAAACACATTGTAGCCATAAAACCTAACAGCGACTCCAGTCTCCTAGCTACCCAAACAGTCTTCTGGGAGGATGGTCTCCTTCTTGTCCTATATTCGGCGGTCGCGCGCTACTGCAAGCGAGAGGGCTCTGGTTAGAGCAATCCTTGTCCTATATGATCAATAAAACCTAATTTCATCTATTTTACTCAATGCGATGAGATGGCCCCGACACGATGATATCCTTGGGTTTCCTGAATGAGTTGCCCCGGAGAGTAGGTGTACCTTTGTAGCTGCTGGTGAAACTACCCCGGTGTTTGAACGAGCCCCGACTCAGGTTATCTGACAGCCTGTAGGCGGAGTCCCGGTGTGAGGAAATGGGTCGTGACGGTCCGGACACTTGTCTAGAGGTGCTGAAACAGTTCACTAATTAATGAGTTAATTAGTTGGTTAATTAGCTAATGAATCAATTAGCTAGGTTGCGACCGCTGAGACTATAATCTGAGAGTGCTATAGAATCAGTCGTCTGGTATATGAGCTATAAATAGATATGTTATTTAATATTTAGCCCTGGTATCTAGTGCTTTTATAAGTGTACCGGCGAAAAGGGTCACAAGAGAATGTGATCACTATTTTTTGCACCGTTTGATCGTAATGGCATTTTAATTTTGAAATGCTGCAATCTATCAGCGCGATCCATTGACTAAGGTGTTAAATATTGCTAGGAGATTCTCCCTTGGGGCATGTGTCAAATGAAATTATCAGAGAATGTGAGGCGGATATGGCATCACAAGAGAGCGGAACTTTGAAATAGAGCCACTTATGACAGTGATAGGTTGAATCTCTGGTGACCCTTTGCCCGGATTAAGGTAAGCTTCAATCTTGTTAAGGAGTATTCGGATTGGTAATTATTACCCTTGTTTACTAGTTACTGTCACGTGACGTCCCTTTCGCATGACACGCGAGAAATAAAAAAGGTAAAATTGAAGTAATGATAAAACAGGAAGTACGGTGACGTGTCACTGTGACACAGGATCACCTCACTTCTATAATGTAATGTTGTAAAATCGTAAAACCATACAACATCATATAAGTTTTGCGTCATGTTCACTGATATAATATATTAATAATTCTATGCTCAATAAATAACTGCTGCTGATCAAATACGCAGATTGCACTCTGAATCATAGTTACAATTTATAATTATAAGTGCAGTGACATCAACAGGGAACCCTCAATTTACTACACGATAATTACATCCACTACATAGATCCCACTCAGTACCACTTTATAAACAGTATGTTTATAAGCACACTATATCAATATGTTTATAAACACTAGCCATGCAGTCGGTTGTCGAACAGATCACTGCTCTCGGAGTTCATTTACAGCATCTGTCTTAACGACCAGCGCATATCTTATGCAAATATGTAAAAATGTATGTTTTATATTCTTTATTCTTATATATGCAAATATGTAATATGTATGTTGGTGCTTAAGATTGTAGCAGTATACTTGGTAGAATCAAGTCAATTGATAACAAGTGCTTAACAAAGATAAAATCAACTTATTTTCTTGTAAAACGCAGCTGACGGAATCAAACGAGATCAGGAACAAGTAATGGCAATTACACTACGACAATGAAAACAAGTATAAAATACAAAACACGAACAATGAACAATTAAACAAACCTCCAACACGTATCACCTAGGTAACGTATCACCTAGGTGGTGACCCGCGGGATATGGACCACGAGGGTCGGTATTTATAGCTACTGGACGACTTGTTCCGGGCCTTTAGACTGGAGCTGGACTTGCCTCCCACCAGGGAAACGTACCCCTTCTTGGAGCGGCCCGATCTGGGGTAGAGGGTAGACATCATCCAGTTATAGACCAAGATCTAGGGTAGACATTGTACCTAGATCTTGGTACAAATCAACCTTATCTTAAAGATAACAGAAATAAACCTTTGTTTTCAGCTGGCGGATTTTTTTGATAAAATCAGTTAGTATTTTGAAAGTCTATGTTTTTTCCGCCAATATTTTTTATGTTTCATTTTGTCGAAAAACATTATTGTGTCGTCTCAAACAAATCTAAAATCTTACTTGCCCACTGGGAACGACACTTATTTATAGTAAAGACGGTGTTTCCGTGGTAATTTATATGTATTCTAATGATGGGTCGTACAGCCCCAGCACATCGTGCTCCCGAATCTCGTACCCCAGACTTTCAGCCCAGAGCTCCATAACATATTACCTCAGTGGCCATGGGCCCTAGGACCCAGGTGAATTCATGTCCCAGCAACTACGAGGTCCTAGAGCACGACGATCTAGGGATTGCAATCTGTGGCACGGGCCTCTTGGACAGAACGACACGAAACTAATTAGTAGTCATCCGTTAGAAACCAAAATTATTTATTGCAAAACATTTTAAAAGGCGAATATTATAAGTATTATTAGAAATACCTTGTACCGTTGTTAAGATATTATTAGTAATATTAATTGTATTTTATACCATTGTTAAAATTATATTGGTACTATTAATATTATTTTGTATCATCCGACCAAGATATTCTGAACTATCATGGCTATATCATCAAGGACCCAGAATTCGCAGTCACACCCACAATAACGTACAATTAAGATAGACACTTCGTCATACTCTCTACATTATATTATTCGCATATTATTCACATATTCACCACAATCCACATTATATTGACATGATATTCACACATTCCACACAGTATTTACATGTCACACACATCAGGACAGGAGAACTGGCTTTAATCACGGTAGTATTGCATTCACCTTACCATTCAAACAAGTTTCATTCCGGGCAGCCCAATATTTCCCGTGCAAACAGGACTCATAATCAAGTTAGTTTTATCAAATTATGCATTTGATTTGATTTCTTTTAGGATCCCTTTACTTCGTAAAAATCAGGGAACATTTAAATCCAAGATCACACATTTTGAACTTGATCCCACCTAAATGTTTGCACAAGAAGGATTGGTCCGCCATGATATTAGAGATAAGACTCACAATTTTGCGTCCATGTGTCAGCCCATTGATGTGTCTGAACCCATGGTCACCATGGCAACCATGGCCGAGGCCATGGCCGTTGGAATAGCTTTTCACACTCTTAACACTTGCACTATAAAGTTTAATCTGTTCAATATACTCTTACATATCAGCTTAACACTGCAATTTGGAGAAAGGGAGTGAGCTGCGTGCAATAATAGTGGTATGGTTATAGGAGCTGAATAAGGAAACAAGTAACCATCTTGTGTATCAGAAAGTGGTAAAGTTAAGACGGATATGCTATTATTGCACGCTGCACTCTCGGTACGCTTAATTAATTAAGAATGCTAGTCACTCGCGCACTTGTTCACATTTCACACTCATTAGAAACACAGCTGCATTCCAAATAGGCATACGAAACCCTTCAAACGCTGTTTTAGTGGCGAAATATAGAAGTGTTGTGCTTAGAAAAGCTGGTCACATGATAACTGGTCACATGGTCACATGATAACTGGTCACATGGTCACATGGTAACTGGTCACATGGTAACATGTCACATGGTAACTGGTCACATAATAACTGGTCACATGATAACTGGTCACATGATAACTGGTCACATGGTCACACGGTAACTAGTCACACGGTAACTGGTCACACGGTAACTGGTCACACGGTAACTAGTCACACGGTAACTGGTCACATGGTAACTGGTCACACGGTAACTGGTCACACGGTAACTGGTCACATGATAACTGGTCACATGATAACTGTGATTGATGACACATACCTTCCAGAAGTCTGAATCTTGTTATTCGTTGTTCCATTCCAGCTCTGAGTCAGTCCCCTAACTTCCTTCTGGAACTGGGACATCCTGAAGTTAAAGGAACGTTAGTTGGGAAAACACCGGATAATAAGTTTAAACATTTCAGAAATACCTAAACACGAAATGCGAGCTCGCAGTGTAGTTGTTAACTAAAAATAAAAACCTGAAATAGTAAAGGAAAGGGTTGCCAGCACAGTTCAGATACTTCATAATAGTAGTAAGTGTACAGTAGTAGCTGATAGCGGCCGCCTTCATGCCTTCCAGCACTGAGTTCATTATACCCAGATATAGGAAAAAACCATCTGTAAGGGGGCGAGGGTTATACACAACTTATTGACAGCAGAAATTCTTGAGGAGCCATTATCGACGTTTGTGTAAAGACACTAAGTAAGGCCCAGAAATAGTAAAGACAAATGAATTGGAATTTGAAAATTCTTTTAGATTAATGCGAGTTGTTATTAAGCTATTTTAAAATTCAAATATCTCACTGAATATGTTGAACCACTCAAGAGCATAGCAGAATACGAAGAACATCAACATAAGTATAACTGTGTTAATGGCTTTCTTCTGATGATCTGCTTTAGTTCTTTTCTGCAAACTCTTAACACTGATCTGGCTCCACCGATCTCGGGCCAGGTTCGGACTTCGGGTATTGTTTACGTTAACCTGGTTGTAGTTTACGTTAACCTGGTTGTAGTTTACGTTAACCTGGTTGTAGTTTACGTTAACCTGGTTGTAGTTTACGTTAACCTGGTTGTAGTTTACGTTAACCTGGTTGTAGTTTACGTTAACCTGGTTGTAGTTTACGTTAACCTGGCTGTAATTAATTACCTTTAAGTTTTAACGTGGTTGTAGTTAACGTTAACCTGGTTGTAGTTTACGTTAACCTGGTTGTAGTTTACGTTAACCTGGTTGTAGTTAATTACCTTTAAGTTTTAACGTGGTTGTAGTTTACGTTAACCTGGTTGTAGTTTACGTTAACCTGGTTGTAGTTTACGTTAACCTGGTTGTAGTTTACGTTAACCTGGTTGTAGTTTACGTTAACCTGGTTGTAGTTTACGTTAACCTGGTTGTAGTTTACGTTAACCTGGTTGTAGTTTACGTTAACCTGGCTGTAATTAATTACCTTTAAGTTTTAACGTGGTTTTAGTTTACGTTAACGTGGTTGTAGTTTACGTTAACCTGGTTGTAGTTTACGTTAACCTGGTTGTAGTTAATTACCTTTAAGTTTTAACCTGGTTGTAGTTTACGTTAACCTGGTTGTAGTTAATTACCTTTAAGTTTTAACGTGGTTGTAGTTTACGTTAACCTGGTTGTAGTTTACGTTAACCTGGTTGTAGTTTACGTTAACCTGGTTGTAGTTTACGTTAACCTGGTTGTAGTTTACGTTAACCTGGTTGTAGTTTACGTTAACCTGGTTGTAGTTTACGTTAACCTGGCTGTAATTAATTACCTTTAAGTTTTAACGTGGTTTTAGTTTACGTTAACGTGACTGTAGTTTACGTTAACCTGCTTGAATTTTTCCGGAACACTACATATAAGTTACTTTTCAAGTGCCAAAATAATTTGAATGGTCAACGCTAGACAATGAGACGTCAAAGAGCTAAAGAAACATTAAAAATTTGAGGAAAATGTCAACTACTCAAAACTTTAAAACACGCCAACTATTTGACCTTTGGCTTTAGAAGTTTAGACAATACCAGCTGTATCGTGGCCTGTGGGAAGTAACATTCTTATTTTACGCAAGGCAAACAGAAAACACCTTCGTCAATTTAACTGATTGTAACTGAATATAACTAATCACCTCTTTAATTTTTCTACTAGTTCGCCTCAGAACGACTTTACCCTCCAAGTCCTCAGATGCAGTTCCTTGCCCCGTGTGTATCTCCGTGTAACCAGCATCAACCTTGCTCATCTAGGAGAAAACATGGGATTAGATTAAACAAATCATCGAAACTTGAGCCCTAGTCGCGCAAAAAACATGCAGAGATATAACGGAAAATTATTGAATTCTTAATTAGCGAACAGGAGATTGTACCTGGGTTGTAATAGGTTTCTCTGCCGCTTTCCTCTTGAAACTGAGAGATCTAAGTTCCTTAGTCAGGGCAACTGACCCTCTGAATGAGCGGTTCCTTTTCAAATCGGGCGGCTCAATCTGCTGTATTATACGTTTTGAGTTCTTGAATATCCTGTGTAGAATCACTATCACAGCCACACCTGAATGAGAAGGAGATGATAACGTTATACTATACATCATACAATACATTTTAGAGTATACAGTATACAGTATACAATATATGTTCATGGTGTGATGATTTGTGTGGTAGTGTTATCACCCTATGTCGGGACAGTTCATAAATTAAGTAGTCAGATGTTCAATTAGTTTAGTTAGCCGTCAAGGAGCAGTTCAGCCTTTATGATAGTTTATATTGAACAATATCCACAACCCAGCCTATCAATCAGACCGACTTGGTGATGTATAGTAATTAAATCAAACGCAGTTGACTGAGCATATAATGTGAGATAAAGCCAAACAAGACAATATACCCAGAAAGAAAGCAGACCGCGGCTCAGCTGTGAAAATACTTTAATCAATATTAATTTCTCATAAGGTCAGCTATTATAGCAAGGATTAATGCAGTCACTAAAATTTCAGTTTCCAAGAAGAACCTTACTTTTTCTTGGTAATTCCTTTACAGTAGATAAAATCTCTGAATATTCATATGAAAAACTTGAAATACCAAGACGTTTCTCCAGCTATCCACAACAAATCTCACTTAATCTGTGACGAGCCCAAGCTTAACTGTGAGAACAAGTTACCACAACAACATGATAATAAATAATAACAACAAATCATTTCACAAAACTCACAAAAGAAGACGATAAGGTAAGTAGGGACAACAATTGGCAGGATATTAACGAAGAAGTACGCTGTGGACACGTACGGAGGGTACGCCACCAGATCTGGGGTTCTCCCCGGTATCTCCCAGTAGTCCCCCGAGTAACTGTCGTTCTTCTGCACTAAGCTCACGTTCCTCTCCACGTATCTGTACAGACCTACATATTCTCCCACTTTGAAGATGTCAAACATGTCCTCTACTCGGTACGAGCACTGAAATCATGAGTAGAATATTATCTTTGTGTTATCCTGAGTATTATACACTATACAGGGTTCGTCATATAAAATTTGACTTTTTCGAAAAATTATTAATTATAAAAGTATAGAAAAGTAATATTTCATGTGGCACACCCTGTATATTATATACAGAATATAAATTATAGGTACTAGATAGTCAGTAGAAATATCTCGTTACTAATCGGTAATCCTAGTCTGTAATATTCTTTTCAACATGATAATAAAGAGTGAAAGGTACTTAAATTTAATATAATTTTAGTAATGCGGTGTAATCTTGAGTTAATAAAGTGCAGTTAATAAAATACAGTCCAGATAAAAAAGTCAGAGTTACCTGGGTAAACTGGGGGACATACTGATAGTTAATAACTTTAAAAGGTCTGTTCTCGCTGGTATCCATGACAGCGTCATCAGGTATAAGATAAGGGAAGATAGCCAATAGCAGGGCAGAGACCCAGCACGTGATCACTAGTATCAGACAGTTCTTCACTGTCATGATAAGGTGCACGTGCAGCGCGTCGTGCACAGAGATAAACCGGTCAAAACTGAAAAGTTTCTCATTTTAGGAGATCAACTGGTTGAAAGTATAGGATAAACCTCATGCCAAAGGATGAACACTAAACATTAAACAGGTCAACCTTTAAATATTCATAAAATTGGTTCTAAGTTTTTTCGATCAAAATTCACACAATATTCCATTTCTTTATAAGGAAATAATTGCTTAGTTATGGCCTTATAAAATTAAGTAGTAACCTAAACCTACCAAATTAGGATTAGGGTAAACAAGGCAGCTTTACTTGACGTGTTCATCACGATTCCTGAAAATAATCATCTGTCAGTTCATCATGACATCATGTTTAGAGATCCTGTGGAAGTTAAGTTTTACGAGCAAGAAATTACATTTGCTTAGAGTTTAGAAGCATAAAAGTTTTCAAAGATCATGCCATCATCTTCAATAAATGTGTTCAATTTTGTTTTTTAAAGTTCCAGTTTGCAAATAAAGAACTGCGTAATATATAGTGTTTAAATCTCCGATCAATATTTATGAGCGACGGCTAAACACAGTCAACATTTTTCCTGTTCGCTAATGCTTAATAAAATCACCGTCTCTATCCTGCATTTTGTATAGAGTCATAGAGCGGTTCCGATCAAATTCAGTTGGACTTTTGCCAGGATGTCAGGACTTATTTTGCTGTTTGGAACATTTAAACTAAATTTCTGGCAACTTTTAAAACGTTGGTTTTGTTGTCGCAGAAAATATATTTGTCAGAATCCTTTGTCATTATTCAAGGTTTCATACACTTGTTAAAACTACCAATTTGAAACTCAAATTGCAGCTTATTGTTTTAACATTTTATGACGTTTTCCGCTGTAATGCTTCCCCGAATAAGTTATAACCAATAAAAAAATACCCTAAACGCATTGTGATGGAGACGGAAGTAGCAGGTGCAGATAAAATGGGTGTGGTCATCACACCTGAACTATGTGTGAAGTTCGACATGAGTGGGGAATATTTGTAGCAACTTATTAACCTGATAATTAGAAGTTAATCACGAAAATTACACACCAGCCCGAAACCACTGAAATTAGCGTCGTGTTGTAAGACTTGTTCAATGTTCATGCACTGTCATTCCACTGTGCCTCCCCGCGTTAAAATTATTGACCACAGCAAGTTGGAAATTTAACTCGCTCAGAAGACATACGTCACAACGGGAGAAATATAGCTTCAACGTACATCAAAAGTATATTTATAGAGCTTCTTCAATATCATTATTCAGCAAATTGCTCTGCAATCATCAACTTTTTTACGAGATTCAGGGTCTTCATTGATATATAATGTTCACTTCTAAACGTCGCGTACACTCCTAGACCTTTGTCAACTAGCGTGTCTCATAGTGAATATTTAGCTGGATTCGCCAGACCCCATAGTCATAGTCTCTGAACTAGATATACTGCATCAAGTTTTCAACCAAGAATATGAAATTAAGGTAAAAATGGTATCTAAACAGTTAAGTACCTGAGAAAGTACAATAACTTTGTAAAGCTTCGTTGAAAGTACTGCCAGTAGAATTTCCCTCTAGTCCACTGATTGTCCTGTTCTCGTTCAGTAGACTGTAGACTGAGAACGGCATCACAAATATACCTGTAATAGTCCACAGTAAGAAACTAGTCCTGATTTATAAATTACTGAGCACATTTAGAAAATAGAGATTAGAAAATAGGGAACCTATCTGGTTTCACCACCAGACTTTAGAGGTTTGGTCACCAGTTCGAGTCAAACCAATTCGAGTCAATTCTCCTTGGCTCAACTCCAATGCAGAGCTTTGATATCCAGAGACCGTTTAGACCACCAAATTTGTCAAATATTGTCATTCATGTATTTTATGTCTTAATTTTTCAAAACCTGGTCAATATCAAAACATTCATAGTAAATCATATATCATCTTACAGCAATCGCGGATTAAATCGAATATATATATTCAAATGTTCGAATATTTGCGCTTTAATGAAAGAATCTAATTCCGGAAAAAGCACTTCTTTTAAAAGTAAACTCTAATTTTATCCACCAAATCGAAATCAATGTAATGAAAATGAGGCTATAACATTGACAATTCCAAACATACCGTTACAAAGGTCAGCAATAGCCATACTGGTAAAGAAGATAACGGATACAGTCTTTGAGAGAGGTATCCGAGTGAAAACAGTCAGGGCCATCATGTTACCTGGCAAATTGGGAGGGGTTGGTCAGTTACAGTTATTTGGGGGTAAACTGTAAAACATGGCCGTAAACAGCATTCACAGTACTAGTTGTATATTGGATTGCCATTAACTTTAGCCCTTTTTGATGACCCTTACAACTTTTATTGCGAAACCTATTCTTTTCGCTGTGATCAGGTGCGATGAATTGTAGATTTTCCGGCGATCCAGAACCTTATTTCATGTCTGCAAAAAGGGCAGAATTCAAGCCCAGGATTTTCTAAACGTTACAGAAGGTCAAGGTTGATCGAACAAGATTACGTATCTCTAGGTGCTATTTCCGGGCACTCATGGGGGCTTACAGTGAGAATAACTCGATAATGACACTTTAAACCGTTATCTGTGTCGCTGATTACAGATTGAACACTCCACAAAGGATGACGCTAATGGTAAATTAGCGACTTATCCTAATCCTGTTATTAGGTTTTATCACGTCACTAGTTGACGTTCCCTTCTCTAACAATGTAAAATATATTACTGCTTTATTGTTAGCGAGTCTACGTGTAAATTATAAGTAGTAATTCTCCTACTACTATTTTCGCTAAAGTGAGCTTTTTAACCTACACTAGTCGCTAAAGTGAGCATGCTTACCTACAATAGTCGCTAAAGTGAGCATTCTTACCTACAATAGTCGCTAAAGTGAGCATTCTTACCTACAATAGTCGCTAAAGTGAGCATGCTTACCTACAATAGTCGCTAAAGTGAGCATTCTTACCTATAATAGTCGCTAAAGTGAGCATGCTTACCTACAATAGTCGCTAAAATGAGCATTCTTACCTACAATAGTCGCTAAAGTGAGCATTCTTACCTACAATAGTCGCTAAAGTGAGCATTTTTACCTACAATAGTCGCTAAAGTGAAAATTCTTACCTACAATAGTCGCTAAAGTGAGCATGCTTACCTACAATAGTCGCTAAAGTGAGCATTCTTACCTACAATAGTCGCTAAAGTGAGAACGATAAAAAATACTGCCAGAATTATCTCCGCAGCTTCGTGGTATGATTTCTCATCTGAAATTAGAAACATTAAACTAAATATAATAATCAATATTGAATATCAACATGCATAATAAAATGTAGTGTGTGGTAGTTTGTGTGGTAGTTTGTGTGGTAGTTTGTGTGGTAGTTTGTGTGGTAGTTTGTGTGGTAGTTTGTGTGGTAGTTTTTGTGGTAGTTTGTGCGGTAGTTTGTGTGGTAGTTTGTGTGGTAGTTTGTAGCTACACTAACAGGGAGCCACCGACTAGAATCCCAACAATAGGAGCTGTATATTGAGATGAAGTCATACCAAAACCAACATCACTAGCGGGTTATGATCTGTTTGTATGACCATGTAAGGCATCAAACCTCCAGCCAAGTTACTGATGTGTTACTCAGCTAGCAATAAAGTCACTGTCAAGTCTCTGTGTGATGGGCAACTAAATGTGCGTACAAATGTGCGTACAAATGTGCGTACAAATGTGCGTACAAATGTGCGTACAAATATGCGTACAAATGTGCGTACAAATGTGCGTACAAATGTGCGTACAAATGTGCGTACACATTTGCGTACACTGACTGCGTACGGGGGGGGGGGGGGGGGGGTACCAATGGCATAGAATGGAGAAAAATGGCATAAAATTCATCAAATGGCATAGAAATTTCATGGCATAAATGGAAATTTTGTTGGCCAATTCTCCATTATGCCATTTATGCCATTGGTACCCCCCCCCCCCCCCCCCCCTGCGTACAAATGAGCTGTTACTTTAAAAGTTTAAAAGTTGAAAGTTTTCATTTTAGAAAAGTCTGGACGCGTGTGATTAAATGAAATTAAAACTGATAAAATCCAGCCTTTCTCTTAAGTTAATCGAGAAAAAGATTATTCATAACATATAACTATACCTAAAAAGTAAAAAGGCTAGACTCAATTAAAAAGTGGTATTACCTGTAAGATGTGTATAGGAATCAGTGTAGAAAGTACTGCTGGAGGTGTACCACGAGCTTGTTGGGTAGGTTCCCGTCGTTGTACCATAATCTCCACTCTTGTTTAACGTACTATCATCTGCGAACACTGTCTCCCCTTCTGTCTGCACCTGTCATAACAAGAGGGGTTAGTTGTGGTGTTATTTGACAGTTGTACACAAGTTAACAATCTCATGATAATGCAAGATTGCACGTTTCATGTACAACTTTAGCTGTGCAATTTCAACTGCCAAAATGACTATACATAATACAACATCATCATTCATCAACCATTTGGGGGACAAACTTTCAACTACTCTAGTGTCCAGATCAAATTATGCTTATCAGTAATTAGGTAGGTTTTCAGTTTCAAACGGAGAAAATGTTTTGAATTGATAAAATCTCAAGGAACTACACCCCAGTATCGTGGTAGAATAACTGAACCTGAACAGGGTTGAAGGAGGCAGACTGAGTGACCATAGTACTGAGAGTGGTAGCAGCTTCAGTCATAGCACTGGAGAGCATCTCTGATACCCAGCTCACCGTGACTACATCAGGGTGGTTAGTCGTCATGTCCGGGTTGTTTGTTGTGATCTTGTTCTGGGGGGTGGTGGTAACCATGTCTCTGATTGGTTGGTTCGGGTCACGTGGCAGGAATACGGCGTTGTGATTGGTTGGTTTGACAGAAATAGAGCGATGTGACTGGTGGGAGGTGCTGGTTTGAGTCTAGAAGATTCTTGGTCTTATCACTGAAACACCTGGTTTGAATGACCCTACTGTTCGGTTATTTCTGAGCAACAGTATCTAGTTTCTGATAACACCGGAAGTCTTCAAAACACAAGGAATAGCCTCAAAACACAAAGATTCTATCAAAATTGCAGATAAATCTCAGATCAAGTCTCTCACAATATCCACAAGAGTATTTTCTCTTTTCAGCTGATTGTCGACACGCTATGACATTTTCCGGCGTGACTTGCTAAGAAGGTTGGTGTTATATTTCAGAAGTTAAGTAAAACCCTGACATTATCATCAGTACACAGCGTTAATTAGAGAATATAATATCCTACAATGTCCGTGATTTCATACAAAATCAGGGAATTTCACAGCCAATCGTTGAAGGCCTGAGTGCAGCCCTACAATGATATGGGTCACGTAACCACCAGAGGGTAGAGGAATCAAAAAAATCTGGATAATATCGCCAGATGACAGCTAATAATTCAGGAACAAACAAGAGGGCAAATTAGATTAAGCTATAATGACGAAACAGCCAATAGGACAGTATTTTTTATGAAAAATATGCTGAGTGCATACCGCGGGTAGGCGATGAAAAGTAGCACATACTGCTCCTAATGGCGAGAGCTAGTTAACTACAGGGTGTACCGGCTGCACCGGTAATATACCCTCAGACAGAGCTAGGTTGTACACAAATCTAGGTAGCACACAAAGCTAGGTAGCACACAAAGCTAGGTAGCACACAAAGCTAGGTAGCACACAAAGCTAGGTAGCACACAAAGCTAGGTAGCACACGAAGCTAGGTAGCACACGAAGCTAGGTAGCACACAAAGCTAGGTAGCACACGAAGCTAGGTAGCACACAAAGCTAGGTAGCACACAAAGCTAGGTAGCACACAAAGCTAGGTAGCACACAAAGCTAGGTAGCACACAAAGCTAGGTAGCACACAAAGCTAGGTAGCACACAAAGCTAGGTAGCACACAAAGCTAGGTAGCACACAAAGCTAGGTAGCACACAAAGCTAGGTAGCACACAAAGCTAGGTAGCACACAAAGCTAGGTAGCACACAAAGCTAGGTAGCACACGAAGCTAGGTAGCACACGAAGCTAGGTAGCACACAAAGCTAGGTAGCACACAAAGCTAGGTAGCACACAAAGCTAGGTAGCACACAAAGCTAGGTAGCACACAAAGCTAGGTAGCACACAAAGCTAGGTAGCACACAAAGCTAGGTAGCACACAAAGCTAGGTAGCACACAAAACTGAGCAGCACTGAAAGGCAAGCAGCAGGTTTAGCACAGTTAAGCAAAATATTATTTTTGTGACCGATAAGTATTCAGCAACGCAAACCGTATTGGTAACGGTTACAAGTTGGCACTGTAGATACAACATAATATTATTATTAGAAATTAGAAATAAGATATTGGATCTAGTTACAAGAACAAGGCAGCGTACGAGTGTACGGCAGAGAGTATCAAGATATACCAAATATCCGCTAACTTAGCCGGCATGTCAAACACTCAAACTACGTCACCCAGCTACAACGTCACAAGGGGTCTAGTAAGTAGTAGGAAGTTGGGTCTAGCAGTGTTATCTAGCAGTGTCTAGTTGGCCTGAAGATGGCCCAGGTGTACCCTGGAGGAGTACGTCTATAACACGGTCTAAATGTTAGCACCGAATGTTCGACACAGTAAATCCAGCTGTTGTTGGACATACTGCTGTTGAGTAGCAAGGAAGCCATGAATAAAATCAGCCTGACAAGAACAATATTTAAGCACAAGTTTTAACAACAAATACAGATTTTTAAAGCTCTCTTTTATCGTATGAATGTGTGCGCGAGTGAAGGAAATATTTAATGCAGCGTAAATTAAAATATTTAGTTTTCACATGGACAACGCTGACTATGACTTTATGACTAAACTAAAGAAGCTCTGATCTGAAAACAAAACAAAACAATCATTAGCATTTAGCGGATGCATCACTCTGAAGTGATCAGGACCGTTCTAAAAAGGCACACACAAAACGGGATCAGTGTGCGAACACAGAAATAACCCCGTATTAAGGAAGGAGTGGATATGTTGTGAACACAGAAATAACCCAGTATTAAGGAAGGAGTGTACATGTTGTGAACACAGAAATAACCCCGTATTAAGGAAGGAGTGTACATGTTGTGAACACAGAAATAACCCCTTATTAAGGAAGGAGTGTACATGTTGTGAACACAGAAATAACCCCGTATTAAGGAAGGAGTGTACATGTTGTGAACACAGAAATAACCCCGTATTAAGGAAGGAGTGTACATGTTGTGAACACAGAAATAACACAGTATTAAGGAAGGAGTGTACATGTTGTGAACACAGAAATAACCCCGTATTAAGGAAGGAGTGTACATGTTGTGAACACAGAAATAACACAGAAATAAGCCAGGAAGCTGGGAGTGTTGCTAAGAAGGTTATCGAGTATTATGGTTCAGGAAGCAGTGGGGGTGTGAAGAGAGCAGAAAGAAGTGTTTATACTGGATGAAGGAAGGGAGGGAGGGTGATTATAAGAGCTCTAATTACAACACTGCGTCATACTACTCATACCCTGCTGCACGGAGGGATTCCTCTGAAGTGTCAACTACCAGGCTAGGGATTCCTGAGAATCCTCTCCAGTGAGCTGCCCTTCACGTTAGTGGACCTGACAGGTGCCAAAATAACTGTTTCAGCCAGAGTTAGGATCTTTATTTATTTTGGTTTATTTTTACCTGCACCTTTGTATTAAAGTGGCCCGTAAGTGATGAGGCTAATTTAATTATTTCCAAAGCAGATTTCCCGGTACGGAGACTAAGGAAATATTCCTCCAGGATGGAGAGATGTTTGTTTGCAGTTTGAGCCTTACAAACTTTGTGATTCAGAACAATCCACCTCACAACATAGTGGGTTTTACCTTGTCCTTCAATACCAGCGACATCTAATTCAAACATTGCTAGATTTTCAACAGGCTAATAATAGACTTGACGACACAGCCCGATTTTCAAGGACAATATCAAGGAACAGTAATAATATAACAGCCGTTTAGAAAATTGAGCAAAACGCTCGACTTGTGCTCATCAAATGAGCTATCAACAAATCAAAGGGCTGTATTCTTGTCACGTGTCCCAAATAAATATTCATATCAGAGAGCTGTGTAAGTACCTGGTGAACATTTAATTCTCTTGACTTGAAAACCTGTGATACTGCAACTGCAAGCTGTTTGTGAATATCCTCTAACAAAGTGCTTAACGCAGAATACAAGGAGAATGTTGTAACCTAAGGGAGGACAAAAGAACAACTCTCCCCCAATAATCAAAAATATGTTATTGTTAAGGGAAGCGAATTAGATTTAAGAATAAACGGACAGAGTGATGTGTACTCTAGCCAGGTGTCATCTAGTGCGGAGCAATTATTTATGAAGGAGCAATTAGTTCGCATACCATTATCCAGCTTATCCGGCCTGTGACATCAACCAATGATATAACGAAAAAGCAGTAATCGATAGCAACACCGCTGTATGCAAATGCAATAGCAACACGACAGTAACCAGTAGCAACACGACAGTTACCAATAGCAACACGACAGTCACCAATAGCAACACGACAGTAACCAAAGCAACACAACAGTAACCAATTAATTAGCAACGTGACAGTAACCAATAGCAGCACGACAGTAACCAATAGCAACACGGCGGTAACTTATAAGAACACGAAAGTACTAAAACTAATTTAAGGACTGCAATCAAAAACACGACAGTATGCCACTGAAAACATATCATTCACTGAACTAATCACAATCAAACGAGTGGCACTGAACTGAAATGGAACTAAAACAAATGAGCAGAAGTTTTTCACGACAGATAGAAGAGCAGCAGATGTAGGACGTGTGAACGTCATGTTAGTGACAAAGGGCGGAGTTAAATCTAGCTATCACTCGGGTGATACGTAGCACCGGTCAGCCGTTAACGGGAAACATTAGATCACACACCTGCAGTAACAAGGGAGTAGCTAACAAATCACACACTGCTCGCTACAAAATGTGAAAATAGCTTTATGCTATCAGCCGTAACTCTGGGATCCTGGGCTGTGGCAAATTGGGACTATATCATTAGAGCACATGTAATGGCTACATATGGAACACGAGGTAACGAGGTCTATACATGGCTTAAAGTGCACTTCTGACGTTATAATAGTCTAGTGTAGATACCCAAGATAGTAACTCACAGATAAGATTAGATTACCTTCTAAATGTGATTACGAAAATAATCCTCTGTTTTGTAATACAGATCAGAGTTTAGGATCATGATCCGGCCCGTATCGATGTCAGCGAGACAGCGGCATAAATTTATTGTAAACAGCCTCGCCCAACTATTCAGCTATCAACCAATCAGAGAGCTGCATTCTTGCCAAGAGACACAAACTAACCGATCAGAGGGATGTATCATTGCGCAACTATTTGTAAACCTAAAAACAGATCCTGATTGCATTAGCGAACATGACTAAAGGAGCAGCACGCACGAGAAGATAGGATTCCAAAAGTACACGGTCGCGTGAATATCTACCAGGAGTTGTTCTAACCGCTTGCATAACACGAGGTTTATAATGCGGTTACTGTGCGGCCCAGGTGCGGTTAGACTAGAGGAATGTTCAGAAGGAAATAGCAACAGACGCTTTCCACCAAGACCGAAATCACGATTATTTTTAGGTCACTGCAAACATGTATCAGAATAAAAGAGTAACAGTATTTTAAAGAAAAGTCTCGTTACTCGGACACTGTAGAAAACGTGTTGACGCCTCAATAATACAAAAATAACGGATCAACAAATCTTAACAGAGTTGCGGGAGAAAGCGTCAACAAATTCGCTAATTAAAGAATCACCACAAAAACACACATCTCATATTCCTCCTCTCTAATATATAGCTTGGAGATTTTTTGAACAAATCTGCGGCGCTGCCAAAAATAGAGTAAAACCTGGTCGCTGAACAAGGGATCCAGCTCCAGACCATGCAGCTCTCTGATTGGTTGGTTTGTGTCACGTGACAAGGATACAGCTGTCTGATTGACTGATAAAGCAGTGAATCTCACAATGTTACAGTTACCCTGCTTCCTCCTTTCCAGACCACACAAACCTCACATATTATATAATGATATCAAGTAATATATACGTGTGAATTTAACAATGGACTGAAGCAATCAGTGGAGAAATTACACTTGATAAAATCAAAATGTTATTAGTGATTACAGTAGCTTTGGCAGATCAGCCGCACTGTGACCTGAACATTACGACAGCGATAAGAAAAGATTGGCAAATACTTTTCTGGAACTAATTGATCCCGTGTCAAGCCAACAGCGGTATTACTATTAGTATTAATTGGAATGGAAGTAATGTCATCTTGCGTTATATAATGACAGGAAATTTGGCAATGTCTGGACGGCCTGACTAAGTAAAACCAGGCAAGCGTATCAAACTTCACTGTAAAATAAAAGAGGAGTGGGTATGAGTCATTATGATATCTGATCTCATCGTCTCCAATGTATCAGATTGGTAAGTCACGTGCTGCGGAGACTGCTCTCTATTTGTCGAGCCGCACCTCGTGACCGTGATGCAGCTCTCTGGTTGGTTTGTATGTGTCGTCTCAAATGTATGGCACGGTGAGGGAGAGTAATGTGCAGGAATGTATGAAGGGTATGTTGCAGTAGTTTGTGGAGAGAGCTCCATCATCGTTATTTTAATGGCGGAATTTAAATTACGGAACTTGAGGCACGAGCAAAGTAAAGTGCAGGTGATTACGAACGCGTCTCATGCGATCAGAATAACATTAAACATTCTTGTTTACATTTGGTTTGAGACTGACAGGAGACCCTGCAGCAAAGCTATCAAACACCAAACAAGCGGGTATTCTTTCTAAAGAATTTTAAAGTGGAGTCGGTGAGCCGTTTTTCTGATATTTCAGAGCGTAACAACGTCCTTCTGTAACATTCGGTCCGTGATCACAGATTAAAGATCTGTGATTGTGCGCATTTCTAACCGCTATGTCATCAATTTCTCGCGACATTTCTTGGTTGAGAAAATTTTATCAGGTCTGAACCATTCAACTTAATCGGATTTTAATTCCAAATACGGCTGCAGATTTATTTGGTGATCGTGATTTAACTGAACGTAGTTTGACTTTGAGATGATAAATCCTAAATACCAGGCCAAAAGGCGATGCAATGTTTAAATTAAATTAAGTTATATCAAGTATATAAGTTAAGTATGAGTTATATTAAACTTATTTTACGATCAAAATTCAAATGGTAACGACAAATTGTGTCGTTATGGCAATGAATCAACACGTAATATTTCGTTATTGATGATAACGTAAAAATAAACCTTTTCGGCTTTCGCACGACCAAGTACTATGCTCCGATAGTGTATAAAATTATGGGAGCAGTTTCCGTCAGTTTATCTAAATTAGAGCGTAGAAAAATAACCGAGAATAACTCAGAATAACCCAGAATTTAGCGAAAAGTCGGAAGAGTAACAAATTAATGTAGTTTAAAAATTAAACTTTGAAGTTTGAACTAAAGGTGTTGCAACACTTGTATATTCTTCAGCTTTAGGCAGAAAACAAATCAGGGTCGTTTAAACACGAATATATATTGAGTTTAGATTTGATTTCAAGCGACATAATTTTGAATTGATTTCTTTTTGATAGTTGAACAGCAGACGGAAACAAGTTTGGATCAGCGCTATAATCGACAATTTTCTAAAAATTTAAATGGTCTAGGACCTAAATCTCGATCGATAGGCAATAGTGAGTTGGCATATTCATACAGAATTTAGATTTCCATTTACAGTTTATGGAATACAGTTGGCCCAGTTTAATAATTTAATTTATTTGAATAAGGGATCGTTCACATATTACGTTATCACTTTTTGGACAATTTTTACCCCCCCCCCCCCCCCCCCTCCGTAATCAGTTTTACACTATCGTTATCATTTGGAAACCCTCCTCGGCTGATTACGTTATGAACGACCCCTAACAAGCCATCTGGTAATCGTGTATCCGATAAATTAACCTAGAGTTTCTAAACTAGTAGCCCAGTAGCCAGACTTAGAGTACACTGCCATCCCAAGTAAAGCTCACCCATCAGCTACCAGCTAAACAATCAAGACGAATAATCAATAATCATACCAGTCTAAAAGTTAAATACGGTAAATTTAGAAACCCTAACAAATGTAAAAAAGTACGGCAGCTGCTGCTAATAATACAAAACTAAACGAGACAGAAAAAGCAGCCGATACTCCATCCCCTTAGTTCGTAGAACACAAGAAAGTTCCTGTAAATTACATTAATATGCTGGTCAAAGCAGAGCAGTGCAGCCTAGTAGTCAACAAGCAGGAGGTTATATACGTGTCAATTTGTCAACATATTCGGGTACTGGTTGAAGTGGCTAAGTGGGCGAGGTCTCTTAACGTAAAGAGAGAGAGAGAGAGAGAGAGAGAGAGAGAGAGAGAGAGAGAGAGAGAGAGAGAGAGAGAGAGAGAGAGAGAGAGAGAGAGAGAGAGAGAGAGAGAGAGAGAGAGAGAGAGAGAGAGAGAGAGATAGAGAGAGATAGAGAAGAGAGAGAGAGAGAGAGAGAGAGAGAGAGAGAGAGAGAGAGAGAGAGAGAGAGAGAGAGAGAGAGAGAGAGAGAGAGAGAGAGAGAGAGAGAGAGAGAGAGAGAGAGAGAGAGAGAGAGAGAGAGAGAGAGAGAGAGAGAGAGAGAGAGAGAGAGAGAGATAGAGAGAGGGGGGGAGAGAGAGAGTGGGGAGAGAGAGAGAGAGGGGGGAGAGAGAGAGAGGGGGGGGGAGAGAGGGGGGACGACTGATCGCACTTCGGGCACTAAACATAAACTCAACATACTTATAAAGTTAAAACATACCAAACATGCACAGTAAACATTCCAACTATTCCTACATAGAGGGTACCTACTGGCAACATGCCAGTCACACCATCTTGTAAGAGACAATAGACCATCACAAATAATAGAGCAAATACCTGGCGAGAAAACCTATCATTAAATAACGGCTTACAGAGCGTCAAGTTTTACAACATACAAATTCTGACCGACAAAAAGTAAATATTGTGACGCCAGGTATAAGTAAAGGGTATTATGTCACGTCGAACTCTAATGTTTAACTCCGTTCGGACTACACAACAACACTGCCGGAACTCAACGCTCCGCAAAACAGCAGGGAGGACAAATAAATGAGAGAGAGAGAGAGTGCTCAGGAAATGGAGCAAAGACAAGCAGGAATTTGGACAGGACACGGGCGTACACAGAGCATGACACGGACACACGGACTAGAATAGAATGTGATACATGCTGCGAGGGGGGGGGGGGGGGGAAGTAGTTGTTCTGTTATAGACAGATGTCCTCGTACACTGGTAGAACACACGCTAGCTGCATGCACCTAGCATGTGACCCTTGTAAGCATTACCTCCCCTTCCTTACCCCTCGCTATTACATCACCTAAATAGTAATAGGTAACTAGTATAGCCATCACAAGAGAGTATTATAGCATTTTATTTGCATTACTGTAATTCTCTAGTTTTAAGAAATAGTTTGACGTCACAGCCCAAGTGGTGACGTCACAACACGTGGTATGACGTCACGTGAACTGCCAGGACGCAAACTTGAGTGAGTGACAAATAATTAATGAACAGCCGCCTAACAAGCTCACGAGTAAACTATTGGAAGTGAGTGTGTCTGATAGCGTGACCTGGAGACAGCCACCAGCACAAAGCTGCACGTTCAACACACGGCCCAGTTTCAGAGCAGTGCTGTCTGAACAGACAAGACGGTGATTGGCCGCGGAGAAAGAGGAACAAATCCAGAGACAGGAGCAGAGTGGATAAGAGTGGGGTGGAGTGCACACGCTCTCCACCACTTCTCTCAAAACTCACACACACACAGCTGAACAAGCCACATTACAAGTAATTAAACCGCCCGGAAAATCTAATTATTTTCTGCACTTTGTCAAAACGTACTCCCGAAATAAGTTGTATATATTAAATATCTGATGGCATGTGTTTCACGTCACGACACAACGCTGGCCACGTTCTTGAGCCGACATTCGGCTATTTTAGGGCTACACCTCCTGGCCTGTGTGCACTTCAGAGGTAGCTGTCCTACAGGAACACGGTAAGGCGGCTGTAAATCAGTGAGCTCAGTAGGTGGAGGACAGGTTCTGGGGAGCAAGGTTTTCAAGACAAACCCCGGTTTATATTAGCATTGGAGTGATAATGTGGTTTACAAATTAGGCACAGACAGCCCGCCCGGGAAGAATAATTAGCACCTGATGACACCCAATTATCAAGACGTTGTTGTGAGCAGGGGGAAGAACTACGAGCATTGTTTCACACAAATATTCAAAATATTATTTACAAAATATATACTCTGTACAGCATCGTGTGGATATAAGAGCATCTTTCTTGTATTTAAGTTGTAAATCTGAGCTCGTTAAAATGTTATCAATCACGACTGAGAAGCACATTGGAAGTGGAAGGTAAATGCTAAAATTTCGCAAAATAAGGCAGTTGCCAATAAAATCGTCTTCAACGACCAAACAGAGCAAAATAATGTAATAAATTATCTAAAAATGCATCTGAACTTAAACCAGGCCTCTCTCCAGTGCCCTGCACAACATCACCCTTCTCAAAAGTAGATGACAGAGCCATCACAGAAAGTCTCAGCTCAGCGTCATGATACGTAGTCCCGCAAGGTTCTATCCTAGGTCCTTCTGATCTAATCCTCATCCTCATCATCCTCCTCCATCTCTGCCTCCTCAGCCTCTCTGTCTAGCTGCTCCTGTTGGACAGCCTGGAGTGCTCTCTCCTCGTCCACTGTTGGGTCTGGCACTTCAGTTACCTGCCAAAGGGCGTGGTTAGTGGCCTCAGCACTCTTTTTAACACTAAATTAAATCTCAATTATTTTATAGGTATCTGGATACAGCCCAACACACTAGCAAAAGTCACTCTGTTGATTGGTCTCACAGCCGGCAATGTGAAATTCTGACATATTGTCCTAAAGGAAGAAAGTTCTAGAGTTCTGAGCGTTGGGAATCGTTATAAATAAGTAAAACTAGATTAAATAGTGTTATTATAAAGGAGTAGAAGGTGGAAATGCCCACCTCAGCTCCACTTGGGTATTCCTCTTGAGTGGCAGCAGGGGCAGGTGGACTGTAGTTCTCAGCTGTGTATTTGTGTCCCCAACCTGGCAAAATATCATCGTCACATTCAGCACAATTCAATCTAAACTTCATGTTACGCGACATTAAACATATATCGCAACAAATAAAGTCAGCAGAAAATGAAGTAATCACATAAGACTTACCAATATACAAGTTCTCGAACTTCTTGTCCAGTCCGAATACGCAAGCACCAGGCCAGAGGTTAGACCTCAGGACAGCAGCAGCGTATTGAGGCACGAGGTTTGAGGTTAACCCAGCGGACCAGGCAGGCATACTGTCTACCTCACTATCCTCGGATATTGGGTTCAGCAGAGGAGGTCCATGTTCGGGGACCGGCTCATCCGGCTCTTCTCTCTCTTCCTCCTCTTCTTCCTGGAGTATTATAGCGGGTTACAGTGAGAACATTCGTTCAGATGATGAGAAATTTGTGGCCCGGAAAATCCTGCTAATGTGTTAGACCCCGTTAGATATCATGTGACGTCACGTGGTGTAATAAGACGTCACGCGGGGTAATGTGACGTCATATGGCTGGCGCAGTTTTGAATACTCACGTCTTCAAAGTCCTCAGTTTCAGTTTTGACGGTAGGGTTGACCCAGACACATCTTCCCTGTGGTAGAATATGCTGCACGTGATGTACCTATGAGGGGAGAAACTTGTTACAAAGTGGTAATGTAACAGAATACTTGTTACAAAGTGGTAATGTAACAGAATACTTGTCACATCATATCTGGTACATGTTCAGACTTTACTATAGTTACACTTCGCCATTTAGCTGTGGAGCTGAAATGTTTTGCTACATTTACATTCTTAAACTATTAGCTTACTTGTAAGTTTAAGATAATAATAAGATTTTTGAAGCACCATTCGCACTTAGTATAGCACTTGTCGTGCTCATATTGATTATTTTTGACTGGATATCTTTACAAAGATAAACAGTTCGTTACAATACCGGTTATATATCCCTACTAACGGCGCTGCTTCGTTACAATACCGGTTATATCCCTACTAAGGGCGCTGCTTTGGTAATACCAATTTACATTTTACATTTTACATTTTACAACCTAACAATAGTTACACTCGGGTGATAATATGCTATGTTTTAGTTGCTCCTAAGCTACGAGTATCAAGTAGTTGGGTTATTAGTTGCTGTCTACATCTGAATTACGATTTTACAAAAATTTAGCAGTTGATAGGCGATACATTTTTATTCTCTGCATATTTTCTACAAGCAATTACAGCAGGTCACTCGGGCCAATGTTCATTTCAAATTTAGAGACAAGGATGGGCTACTTTCTGACGAAAAACGCAGCAATATGAATAGTGTAAGCAGTATGAATAGCAGTATAAATAGTATGAATGGTCAATAGACGGTGCTGAGACGTTTGCAGTCTAAGGAAATCATCAAATTCAGGAACATGTTAAAGATTATAATATGATGATTCTGGCGTATAGATGGTATTCTGATTTATAATTCAGTTCACGAAAATAACTTCTCTGCCCACAACCTTGAAGACTTTACATTTCTGAGAAGGGTTGAGATACACTGTTGTCAGACAGTTTGGAGAGACAGCACGGAGACTTGTAACCCAAACCCAGTCAGAGCCAAGAAACAGCTCCAGACTAGGCCCTAGACAGCTCATGCCGTCCGGGTAAAAGTACGTACCAGACTAGTCACGGCAGCAAGGGGAAAACATGCAGTTAGTACCTTGGTCCTGTCATCTTTCATAATAGATTTGCTAACCGTCTCGACTGAGATTGCTGACAAACTTTGGAATTTTCTATCATATTACTGTTCAGCTTGTCAAAGAAAAATATGTTAGAAAGAATGTGAAATTTCCGTAGCGAACTACAACAAGCCTAGAAATACCTAAACTCGCAATAAATCAACGAGCAAGTATACAGGGAATGCAGAGAGAAGTGTCTGCTCTGTAGTTCCAACTTCCTGGACCTCCATATTAACATTCTAGATACGGAGTTGTTATACGTTACATTTAATTAAACAAGTGTTTGGTCAACTTAAAAGTAAGATATGTTTGTTAAGTGGGCCACACACAAATTTAGTTTTTTTTTCAAAGTCTGGAACGTATGACTTCATTTAGCTTAATCACCTTATTTCAGTAAGTCAGATTAAACACAGTTTTTAAATTTAGACCTTCATCAAGGCCAGGGTCTAAAGATAGACTAAAACATTCACTAAGTTAGTTACAACTCTTTATTCTTAAGTTGGCATAATTTGTATAATACTCTTTCCTCGATCTTCACTTAGTTTAAATCAATAACAAATAATCCAGGTGACTAAGTTAAATCATCAAATGTCCGTCTTCGTTATGATCAAATACTTTGAATAACACAGCCATCTCAACTATGTATCTCATTTACATGACGTTAATTAACCACAGTTTCGCGGAGGATCATTGCTCGCATATTTCTCGATCCCAGAAAATACCAAGTTAGTTGGTGTGATAATTATTTTCTACCAGCCCAATCCTGAGTTGACATATCACGTATTGTTTTGGCAACTATTTCTATAACAATTCAACACTACAAATACTTTTCAGCGACAGTTGGTGCCTGGCTACGATTTTTCACATCTGAGTACCACGCCTCATAGTAATGTGATAACTTTATTATCTACTGTAACGCCCTTTAAATATATAATACAGTTTATAAAGCGAGTTTCCGTATCGATGACTACTAATGATGTTGTATTTTTATTTGCTGAACGTTAACGGAAAATAACTCGCTGATAGGATGTAATAGCTGGATCAATATTGTACGGATGCTTCCTCATTAAACTTTAGTGGAGATTGAGGGAATTGAGAATGAAAAACAGGGAACCCTCGCAGCGTGCGCCGTACAGCTCAATATGTAATCAAATTACAAGAATCATAGTTTACAAACAAATTAATTGTTCATAAGCCCATTTACGTGCGGTATAGTTAACTCTAACCGCGAAGGCAAATGGTAAAATGTGTGATTCGAGATGTTAAAAACGTACCCAGTTACTAAGAGATGGGTCGATGAGCTCCTGTACTCTGGGAGGTTCGAACTCAACATTCTCTACGAATGAGTCCCTTCCTTCACCGTCACTGTCATCTTCATCGTCTTCCTCAAACCTGCACGTGCCAATAATTATAACATATAAGCTGATACGCTGTGCATAGAAATAACAATATACATCACGTGCAAGATAATGATACTGATTTATCGCTCCACTTCACAAATCAGTAAGGTTGGGATAGGCAAAAAGAAGAAATTAATATCATTGTTGAGGGAACACTGACTTGAAATAGTCCACAGGAGAAATGAGAGTTCCGGCACTAATTCTGGCAATCTGTGCTCTGAGATAGTTGATTTCGGTTCCTGGGAAAGGAGGGTAACTGATTACAGTCTCCTCCAAATTACCGGTGAAGAACTTCTTGATTTGTCGAGCACACACGATCTGGGCTGGAGTTACTGGAGGCAGTTTCGTCCATTCTGTTCCAGGCTCATTGCATACAAAGTATGTCTTTTTGTTGCAACCAGTGCCGGTCTCTTCCTTGGGGATTACTGGAGGTGGTTTGTAATCTGGTGTTGGCAGATTGTCTTCGTCTCCCTCTTTAGGTTCTTCTGCTTCCTCATCTCTTGGCTCCTCTCCTTCCTCCTCTTCTCCTTCTTGTTCCTCTTCCCCTCCCTCTCTGTATTCCACCTGACATATCACAATTTTGATTAAGCAAATTATCTACTGGAGATATGACCGATTTTGTTATTTTTAAACTAATATACGGCGACACGTCAGATGCGGGCAGAGTTTCCAAGTTTTGCACGCCTAATATAATAAAAACGATCTGGGATGCCATATAAGTAAAACAATTACATTGTCATTGTAGGAAACTTTTATCGTGCGTGGAGTAACCGCGGCGAAATTCTTGTTTAACTAATATATGGCAAAAATTGGTTTGAAAGATAAGAGTGAGACACTGAGATGGAGATCTTAGATGTGATAATAACGTTTACCTCAGCCACAATATAGTTTTTCTCAGTTCCAAGAATCTTTCCCCAGAATCTAACAGACTGAAGAGTGTGAGTGTCCACCAAGTTCTTGAGTGCGAGGAATATTCTGAAAGTTTCCTCTCTGCCGAGACCAAGACCAGCCTGTTCGAAGTAGTGCGCTGTATCCATCAGGTCTGGGAGTGGCATTTCCACTTCATCCTCTGGTTCTGGTTCAGCATCCTCACTGGGCTTTTCGAAGAGCTTGTTTTGGACGTTTGCTAATTCAACTTCAAGTGATGCCGGTCGCACATCCTGCAACTTGAAAATTAGATTTAGGAACCAGCTAAATAGTCAAACATTTTCGGATGCTTATCAGGACTTATCACTTAACCAAAACACAAATTTTGCGAATTTATGATATTGGTTATGACAATGACATATTGGAATACGAATGAATAAATAATAGATACCCAAAGTTTATACTAAAAGATAAAAATTGTGCGGTCGCAGTCCCCTATCAATTTCAAAACCAAAAAAATTAACAATAGAGTTACGGGTGGTACATCGTTAAAAAATCAGTAAAGTAGACTAACCGAAGAAGGGTCGCAGGGAGGAGCAAACTTGTTGGTTTTAACTTCTTTTGACAGAGCTTCTAATAAATCGACTGAGTTAGGGGTTCTGTTTTCCAATATTTTGTGCATCACGGAGCACATATGATCATAAAGATTCAGCTTGGAGTCCGGACTCTCCTGCTGCAGGAATGCCTTCGCATTCTGTATCATCGTCTCCGACGCCATCCTACCTGAATTTGTTAGCAGTTAGCCATCATTTATCATTTCTAGTTTCAAGTTGAAAAATTTCGTTGATCAAATAATTTTAACAATTCTGTATCAAGCTGAAAATATGAGATGGAACAATGAAAGATACTCAGAGAATTTACAATGGGGAATGTTTAGAAAAACAATAAATAAAATGATGTTATGTACACAAAATAACAATGAGTCTGATGACAAAGTCAAATACCCTGTGTAATATGAATAGCCCTCAACAAAAATATTGTCAGAAAACGCCTTTGTCAAATTTTAGAAATATATAAAACTCTGTCCCCAGAAGTTGTTAATCTAGAAAAGTTTCTCCTAACGAAAATATAATACATTATCTACATATTCACTGCATTTGTTTGTCAAAAACTGAATAACACATCCCAAAATTTATCGAACCTAGAATTACTAGAATTACGGCAATGCCACTTATATAATTTACGAAATATTGGCAATAATTGTGCGTCAGCTGCAGTCGATAAGGGGAAATGTTAAGATACCACCCAAAAATGCCAAACCAGAAAGTTAAGGGTTTAATAGAAGATCACAGTGATGTGTGATGTATACTGAACAATGAACATGCTACATGCAATAAGCTATCGGAATCAGCGAACGAATACAAACGCTCATTTTATCAGTGTTTTGCAGGAGACGCATATAGTTACGGTTGCTATGGAAATCTGCTAATTTCGCAGCGCGCGATTGCAGAAAAGCCGCACTTTTATCACAGTTTAAGCTTCGCGCGTAACAAAAAACGTATATTTTTCAGTGAACCGTTTGAAAGTGGCGCGCTCAACTGCTTATCCACAAAGCGTATTATAAACGGGAAATTGTGGATAGGGGTTTGGATTTAATCGTCATCCTCTTCATCATCTTCCATTTCTGCTTCTTCAGCTTCACGTTCGAGTTGCTCTTGCTGCATCGCAAGAAGTGCTTGTTCGTCTGCTACAGTTGGATCTGGGACTTCAGTTACCTGTGATAATTTTGCGTCAAATAAACCGAATAAACACACAAATTTAGTATTGATTGAACCAAGAAGATACCTACAAACTTTAAACGAATTAAATGAAAATCACATTCATGAGAGATATAACTATACACTTAATATTTACCTCTAAGTCAGTCGTGTATTCCTCAAATACTGGTGGTGGTGGGGGTGGACTGTAATTCTCCGAACTGTACTTATGTCCGAACCCAATATAAATATTCTCAAACTTCTTATCAAATCCAAAGGTACAAGCGCCAGGCCAAGTATTGGATTTAAGAACAGCTACAGAGTATGCTCGTATGAGGTCTGAAGATCGGGCAGCGGACCAGGCAGGAAAGCCGTCCACAAGACTATCATGGTTTATCGTGTTTAGTAAGGGCGGACCTTCTTCTTTTTGAGGCTCATCTGGATCTTCATTTTCTTCTTCTTCTTCTTCCTGTGGAGAATTTATTTTTAAATAACAGATTTGGAAAAAATGGCATATAGACAATCAATGAAAAAAATATTCTTTAAAATTAAATGTTTCTCAAATGGTATAATTGTCTTATTTCATTGTTTAAAGAATTGATAGGGGTAAAATCGTAAATTTATATCTCTTAAAAACCTCATCGAATTCCTCGTTATCAGCCTTAGTGATGGGATTGATCCACTTGTACCTGCCCTGAGGCAGAATGTGATGCATGTGATGTACCCAGTTATTGAGGGAAGGATCTACCAGTTCATACACTGGTAACGGTTCAAACTCAACATTCAATATGAATGAGTCACGACCCTCTCCGTCACTGTCTTCATCGTCATCTTCATCAAATCTGAGGAGTAAACAAACAGTATTATATACTTATAAATGTAGTCAAATTGACTGTGAATTGTGACCAAAGATCACTTGCTGTGTAAGAATATAACACTGATCTGAGTGGATAACTGTTGTCAAAAGATCATAAAATCATGCACAGGAAAAAATTCCTAATGTATAAATACATAATTCACAAGTAAGTTAGCAGCTGTTTTCTTACTTGTAATAGTCATAAGGCTTTATATGAGTACCAGCGCTGATCCTTGCAATCTGGGCACGAAGATAGTTTATCTCCAGGCCTGGGAAAGGAGGATAACTGATGACAGGTGCGTTGAGATCCCCCGTGAAGAACTTCTTGATCTGTCTTGCGCACACAATCTCTGCTGGTTCCACTGGTGGCAGTTTTTTCCACTCTGTACCCGGTTCATTGCACACGAAGTAAGTTTTCTTGTTACAACCCGTTCCGTTCTCTTCTCTTGGTATTTTAGGAGGAGGTTTGTAATCGGCTTTAGGAAGATCCTCCTCTTCGCTCTTCTCCTCCTCCTCCTCTTCTTCTTGAACCTTCTCTTCCACCTCCTCCTCCTCCACATCCTCATCTTCTTCTCCCTCTCTATACTCCACCTCAGCTACTATATAGTTCTTTACAGTTCCAAATATCTTTCCCCAGAACCTCACATCCCGTAATGTATGGGTATCCACAAGATTCTTCAGAGCTAGGAAAATCTTGAAAGTTTCCTCCCGTCCCAGACCCACGCCAGCCTGCTCGAAATAATAAGATATGTCCATCAGATCTGGAAGTGGCATATCCACTTCATCTTCAGGCTCAGGGTCAGCGTCCTCGATATTCGTCTTCTCAAACAGACTGGATTGAAGTTTTGCCACGAACACTTCCCGCTCATCGATCTCCCGCGTGGTTCCCTCAGCTTCGTCCTTTTTGTCAGCAGACAAATCTTCGAAAATGTCCACAGCATTTTGAGTCCTCCCTTCAAGCACACTATGGAGAATGGAGCAGAAGTGATCGTAGACATTACGTTTAGTGTCCGGGCTTTCTTTCTTGAGGAAGGATTTAGCCTCGTCAATAATTGCTTGAGACGCCATCTCTATCTAGTGAATCAAGCTAATTAATATTCAGGATAGGTATAATTATTAAATATCTACAATCAATAATTCGGGGCCGATTTTGAAAACGAATTAAAAAATACCATTCGTAATAAATTGACATTTGGAACGTTTAGCATAAATAAACGGCCAGATTTTAACTGGATCTTTTAACTTGTTTAACTTACCAATTATTATAAATTCCACTGGTCAGATATATAATTGTTATGATGTAAACAAAACCGTACTGATTATGAATTGTGATAAGATAAAACATTATATTCAAATAACATCATTGTTTATACAAACACTCTGAATTTATTTCTTAAATAATGGTTGGCTTCAAACAAACACTGATCAGTCAATTTCAGAGAAACCAATTAAATTGTAAGCACGATCGCGACCAAAACCAATGCATCTTCATTTGCCACATAATAATCTCTGTATACTGAATGCTTTGAACTGGCGCTCCAAAGTTTTAATCCCACTTTATTGTCTAACTCTCCTCTAACAACATAAGAGGAGCAAAGTCTTTATAATAGATAAGCTGTTTATCTTGGTCAATAGCTGCTGATAACATTTCATCCATTTCTTCTGTGGTAAATGCTTCTCCTTCTGTTGTCATGTAACGTTGTAACTCTTCAGGTGTCAGGTAACCTTTCAGCTCTTTATCTAGTACTTCAAACGCTTTTATTATCCTGAGAAATGTTATTTTAGTTTTCTCCTTTCAGAAAAATATTTCTCGATGATATGATTTAAACCTCAATTGAAGATAAAAACATCATATCATGGACAACCTGAAATAATCAAATTAGAGGCGCAAAAATGTATAGTTTCCGAAATGAATGAGTTTAGTAATAAGCAACATAAGAGTAAGAAAAAAGCTATATTTTCTTCTTTCTTACTCAGCAAAGTAATAAGCTTCATAAACTTCCTATTTATTAAACACGTATATATATATAGTATATACACGTATATATAGTATATATATATATATATATATAGTATATACACGTACCTATCCTCAGGTTCAGGTCGGTATCTGCTCTTATCCATGAGAACACGTGTCATCATAGGTTCGAACCGCTCGTAACGTACATAACCAGTAGGTTCATCTTCCTCTACCTCGGCTATCATGTCATTTAACTCACCCTCCGTTGGGAAACAGCCTAGTGACCTACGGAATGTGTGTTGTTAGATAAGTAAACTGATTAGTTGGATTTTTTCCATCAATTTTTTTTCTATAAAAGTATGAGATGGTTAGAAGTGGTAGGAATTGAGAATGGGTATAGTAGGTAGGTAGGTAGGTTTTTCGTGGTGTCAACTGTCACAAAGGAAAACATGTGCCCCCTTAATTTCCCACCCGAACAACTTATGTTTAAACTTGTAAAGGCGGGGTGCAACACCTAACCCCGCCAATCCCGCTAATCCCACCAAATCCCGCCAAATCCCGCGTAATCCTGCGTAATCCCGCGTCATTCCGCAAGTGCGGGGTTAGACGGAAATTGGCGGGGTTATGTACAACACCTAACCCCGCCAATCCCGCTAATCACGCCAAATCCCGCTTATTCCGCCAAATCCCGCATAATCCCGCCAAATCCCGCGTAATCCCGCCAAATACCGCCAAATCCCGCCTAATTCCGCAAGTGCGGGGTTAGACGGAAATTGGCGGGGTTATGTGTTGCACCCCGCCTTTGTAAACAACCATTCCTTCACATGGCTTTTGTTCTTCAAACGTTTAATATCACCACACAGGCTACGGTGTCCGTTCATTTAACTTTTTAGATTTGAATAATTGACAATGGCAACCCCTCCATTTTGTGCTCCATAGCGCCCCAAGAATGATGAATAAAGAACCATTATTTGATATTTTGACCAACATCAAACGATCGTTAATTGTAATTTTAAATTTTAAAAGGCAATGCCTACGGTTGATGGAAATTTAGCCTCCGCTAAACGGCGCAATTCTTGTTAACTGTTGAGTCTTGAATGCAAACAACAGTCTTCAGTGTCAGTTTAGGACGACACAGGCGGCTGGTGGTTAGTACCATCAATTTCAGATCGGTTTCAGAAAGTTGGACCCCTTCCCTAACTCTGAGTTTCGTAAACTTTCTATCAATAACTCTAGCAGAGCAACACTAAGATAATCATGCCGTATGGGTACGATAATGTTTGTTATAATAGAATTTAATAAGACCTTAGTCTGAAAGCTATTCTACCAGTTCTTTCTTTACTTAATAATTAAATATCAAATTAGAAAAATAAACGAGGTGTTTCGTGTCGGTCAATTATTTTGAGTTTTGATCGAGCTGTATATCCAGAGCATGGATTCTGCTTATTTGGTTCACAGGTTTTTCCTAGACTTTTTGTTCGAACTTTAGCTTTCTGTACAAGATTTTTTGTTATCTTAGAATTTATTCCGCATTTATATTATTCCCACTCTCGACTCCTCGCTAGCAGTCCGGTTAATTTAGTACCTCTAGGTAACTTCTCATTTAATCATGAGGACTTTTTAAAGAACATATTCTCACCCTCTAAGATTTTCACCGCTTCGTTCATTTTATAGATTTATTCTTTTTATATTTTTACTACACTTACTAACACGTGCATATTACGAAGGAGTAGATGCCTCCGCAGGCATTTTAGAACGTGTTATATTTTATCACTTCATGCACGGCTGCCATTCTGCTTATTTGGTTCACAGGTTTTTCCTAGACTTTTTGTTCGAACTTTAGCTTTCTGTACAAGATTTTTTGTTATCTTAGAATTTATTCCGCATTTATATTATTCCCACTCTCGACTCCTCGCTAGCAGTCCGGTTAATTTAGTACCTCTAGGTAACTTCTCATTTAATCATGAGGACTTTTTAAAGAACATCTCACCCTCTCAGAAAACTCCGTTTGAAGATATTTACTATTATTATCTATGTCATAAATTTTCCTTGTGATTGAATTCTGTCACTTTTTAACTGTTTCTAGTAGTAGTATTTGTTATTTTCGGCCGATTTCTGCACTTTTTCACTGGGTCATCTTCATATTTTCTGGGATGGAGACGACGCATATCAGCATTTAAGGAAGAGTTTGCTTGACTGACTTACTTCATTAGACACTTCTGGTCAAGGACAACATGACACCTAAAACTTTGAACATAACACGAGGAAACATGGACAAAACTGAACAAGAACCACATTCGAAGACTGAAACATCTGAATGACTCTGCAACCCAGGAATCCACTACTCAGTTATCATCGCTAAATGATCAGTTTGGTATCGACGTTACATACTTTATTATTTTTTTTAAAAAGAAAAAGAAGCTGATTTTAGTTTTTTTTTTTTTTTTTTGTTTTTTTTTTTTTCTTCCTTCAAAACATTCCAGTACATTGTGCAGAAAGTTGGAGATAAAGCCGTAGTACGTACATGTAGCATACTACTGGATCGAACTTGCAGAGTGTGGTTTCCTCCAATCTGGGCCGCGCGTTTATATAAACATACACGGCGCAGATCGACTGGAGGAGATTGCACTATGTAGGCTCCGGTGTAATGTGATATGTATGTACTACGGCTTTACAAATTTTGGAAGCATGTAGGGATATATATCTGATACCAATCGTATATACTAAAAATACTCTAGCACAATTGTAACTGCAGTTTCACAGAACTCTAAATGCTTAAGGAACACTCTTGCAGGTACCACCCGTATTCACACTCAGACCTGAGTTTAGTCATTTCCCGATACGAGATTGGGGACGGGTTCTATAAACAAACAAACAAACAAACATATCCAGAGCATGTGTATTTTAGAATACAATCAGCTGATTGGACCAGTAATATACCAGCTGCCAAAGGGTTTGCTAAACACAAGTGAATGGGAACCGTGAGCGGACACGAGGTCGGAAGGCACTAGGGTGGTACTCAAACATCGACACGCATACGGAACCAAACATCGTCCTAAATGATGAGCTAGTAATAAACTTATAATGGCATCACACAATTTCATTTTAACTTTTGTTTATAGGCGCCAACCTACTTTTATATTTATACACATTCACGATTGATAAATATTTTTTTGCTGAGTTAGCCATATTCAACAATTTATCTATATCTGGCTTTACCGACAAAACATACGATTAAATAGGTTTTTGATGTTCCGAGGTAAAGCTTAGCTCGAAGAATTGGATCTACTCACGATTAAATTTGAAACTAAACAAATTGATGTGACAATTAATAATCACCCAGATTTAAACCACCCAAAAATTGAGAGATTTTCCTTAAATAATTAGCCAACTCAGCAGCAGATTTTGGGGTTTGGTAACGTGCTTAGACCAATCACACACTGCCTAGATGTTCATGTGACAAACTTGATTCTCAGAATATCGCCGTCGCTGATGCTACAGTTACCCAGGTTTAGATCAGGGGTAGTACGTACCAGGATGGGTATTAACTTTGGGCTGACGAATTTAACTGAGGTGTGTTCACTCAGTTCCAAACCATCAATCCTCTCAGTTATATCGACCACTAGTACTTATTTTCATTTCAATAAATTTGTAAACTGCTAAATAATAAGTTATCATTTGTTACGTTAGCCAGATGTTAGTAATTTTATTTGACGTTTTTCATTATAATCATATAAAATTAAATGACCAAACCGTTGAGTGAAAGATTGTCAAACTGATTTAGGCTTTTATTAGTTCGCCTGACCGTCTTTGCTTCTTTCTTTTTAGTTTCAATCGAGTTGTTTCGTTTAATGCCACTAAAATCTTATCAGATGCAATTAAATTATTGAATATGACAACATTTTAATAAAATATATAAATTAATGTTTATAAAAGTAGGTTGACGCTTATAAACAAAAGTTAAAATGAAATTGTACGATGCAACAAGTTTATTACTAGTTCGTCATAATTTAGGACGGTGTTTAATTCGGTCCTCGTGTCCATGTTAAAGTGAGTCATGTGGTTCGCCCTCGTTTCCACCCTTTAATATTAGGAAAGTACCTCCCTAGTGTCCTATATCTCAGTTAATTCATATAATATCAGGACACAGGATGGAATATTCAACGATAACAGCAAAAACACCAGATTGGTATACGGACTACTCCTATAACTACAACCTCGCAGCTGATGTGATCACAGTGACCTACGGGACTATCTGTTGTCTGTGCTTCCTTCTCGGGACGGTGGGAAATATTGTGAGCTTTCTGTATTTTAAGGCTAAAAAAGGAACATCTCAAGCGTCACCTATATGGTGATTACGGCAAATGATACAGTCGTAAGTGTGATAGTACTCCCCGTTGGAATTTCGTTTTTGTCAGAAAGAAGTCCAGGTATCGTATTCGGTACGAGCCTGTGCTGTAAAGCCTGGTATTACTTGTGGGTAGTAGCAGTTTCACATAGCATTTTCTTAGTGCTATGTTTGTCTATAACTAGGACAGTGTCACTGATACGACCCTTTCAACAGCAGAAAATAAGGTATCTGCTTATAGCTATAGTATCGTACTTATTTCTAATATTGGCTTTGACAATTGGAAAACATTTTCAAGACGGTGTGGATATTAAATTCAAACCTTGGTTGGCATGTTGTGGATGGATTGGCCCTATTAACAGGGCTGTAACTATCCTTTATATCATCAACAACTTGGTATACACAGTTCCAGCGTTCGTAGTTGCAACAAGCTGTATCATATCAGTTGTGTTGCTAACAAGAAGAAATAATGTAGCCGAGCAACAGGAGCTACAGCAATCCAGAAACAGGGCGACAGTAACAATTTTATTGTTTGCTCTTGTGTATGGAGTGTGTAATGTTCCTCATGCCGTTGATTATATCTTGCGAACACACGCCATGCACACTTATAACTGGGAGTGGTTCGATAATTTGCACCGGTTTGATAAACAGTTGTACTACTATAACGCCATATCCACTGTACTCATGGCAGTGAACTCGGCAGCAAACCCAATCCTATACTTTTGGAGAATGCGCAGGCTGAGAGAATTCTTCAAAGGGATATTGAGACTGAACAAAGAAAATAGGAGGCCTCCAAACATCGTTAACCAGCAAGAGAGAGGTCGTGAAGTTGCAAATGTAGAGACTCGTTTATAATTAAAGACCACGTTTTAAAATTAATTAAATGATAAAAATTCTGTTTGTTAATTCGATTAAATGCAAGTTAAAGCCATACGTACAATTTAGTTACAGCAGTTACGGAACCGAACAAATTTTCCTTAATTTCTTCGCATGATATAGCATGTGCCGCATATCATCGAAATAATTCCACTTTTGCAAAAAAAAGATTAATATGGACTTCCATTTTTACAAAAAATTTGTAATATTGGGGGGGGGGGGGGGGGGGGGTGTCACGTCCGTCTATGTCCGCCTATGTCTTGTCCTTTTTGGATTCTATGAGACAACGGACGTGTTTTTTGGGACATTGGCGGACTCGGACGGACATTGGCGGACTCGGACGGACATTTGCGGACCCGGACGGACATTGGCGGACTCGGACGGACATTGGTGGACACATACGGACATTGGTGGACATTAGCGGACATTGGTGGACATTAGCGGACAAACATTTTGAGAATTTTTCGCAACTTCTAATTCTATGTATTATAATTCTGTACAAAGCAAACGACTTATTAATCACACTAAAGCTATTAATAGCTTTAACTTATATCAAATTATATACATATAATAGAACCTTAGAAGGCAGTGCTCCCGCTTCCGAGCTCGTGTTACAAAGGGGAAGCTTGCCTTCCGAGATCGCATAACAAAGGGGAACCCTCGAGTCCTAAATCTTATATCGAAGGGTAGGTGCGGACTTTGAAAACCACAAAAAAATGTTTGGCTCATAATGATCAGAGTAGCTTGAAACATGAACTGAAATAGTTTCCAGAAAAAGTTTAAAATTTTTGACTTGGAAAATTTTCAGTCCGAGTCGATCTCGATACGAACCTTAGAAGGCAGAGCTCCCGCTTCCGAGCTCGTGTTACAAAGGGGAGGCATGCCTTTTGAGATCGCATAACAAAGGGGAACCTTCGAGTCCTAAATTGTATATCGAACGGTAGGTGCGGACTTTGAAAACCAAAAAAATATTTTTGGCTCATAATGATCAGGGTAGCTTAAAACATGAATAGAAATAGTTTCCAGAAAAAGTTTGAAAATTTTTGACTTGGAAAATTTTCAGTTCGAGTCGATCTCGATACGAACCTTAGAAGGCAGAGCTCCCACTTCCGAGCTCGTGTTACAAAGGGGAAGCTTGCCTTCCGAAATCGCATAACGAAGGGGAACCCTCGATTCCAAAATTGTATATCAAAGGGCCGCGGGTAGGTGCAGCCGGACTTTGAAACCGGAAAAAAAAATGTTGGCTCATAATGATTAGGGTAGCTTGAAACATGAACTGAAATAGTTCCCAGAAAGAGTTTGAAATTTTTTAATTGGAAAATTTTCAGACCGTCTATGTCCGTATATGTCCGTCTATGTCCGTCTATGTCCGCCTATGTCTGATCCGCCTATGTCCGCCTATGTCCGCCTATGTCCGCCTATGTCCTGTCCTGTCCTGTCCTGTCCAGTCCTTTTAGGATTTTATGAGACAAGCGGCGCGGACAAAGACGGACGTGACACCCCCCCCCCCCCCCACCCTCCAATATTTAAGCTCGCTTGACAATGGCAAAAGATCAATAGTGAGATTAATTACCCTTTGTTAATTTACTGAGGAATCAGCTTCCTTGAATCAAAATCGTCCCGTCCCTTAAAAAAATACCTTGCTCCAAGAACTTTATATACCGCTGCAAAATTGATTAAAACCACAGCTTTATGGTGTCTTTGATGCAATTATGTGCAAAGTGATATTTTACAAATTAAGCGTTTATTAAACTATTGGTTTTAGCAGGTTGCATCTTTTAAATTTTTTTAAAAAGGAAGATACAAGAAAAAAATGTATATTCTATTTACGAGTGCTAACTATCTGATCATTTAAGTGTGCTTTAACTATCTTTATTTTATTTTGTTAATGACATGTGTGCTGTTATTTGCTGTTTAAACTTTAATATGACTGAGTAGAGTAAGAACATCTGATGTGATCAATAACATTCTGTTCCGTATTATTGGAAAAAGTGTTTGAGATTTCTGTGCCCACCGGCGGTTCGTTTCCAAACGTAAGTTTTCAAGTAATTTTTTAGTTTGGGATCGTACATTATATTACATAATCACAGAGGGGTTAGAATTGGCCAAAAAATGATACTGATAACGTAATATGTGAACGACCCCTTTCCAAGGTTTCATCGTCCGCTTTAATTATACAATGAGGACTGTAGTTTGGCGGATCTTAAAAATAAGTTAAATTTACAAAATTAAATCAATGAAATGGACAATAATTTTCAGTTAAACTAACTCACACCTAATGATAGTTCCCACTTCCCGCATATCTACAGTATCATTGTTCTCGTGGTCGAATATTGAGAAGGCGTCCTTCACTAACTTCTGCATTTCCAACAGCGCAGGATCCTCAACCTTTCCTCCATCTCCATTAGTCGCCATCTTACTATTGGGATCTTATATCATTGTTTAAATTTAATATTCATACTATTACTAATAATTACATAGCAAATATTGGAATGAAAACCAAATTCAACCAAATTCATCAAATTATTTGCTTATTTTAGTGACTTATTCTTCAAAGCTGAAGAAGACTTACCCACAATCGGATTTACAAGGTTTTAAAATAGAAAGCAATAAAACTAAAACCTCATTTAATCAGCATAATATTGAAACACGTAAGTTCAGCAACATGAACACAGAACACTGAACAGTGCAATGCTTTAAACGTAACAATAATAATAATATTATTTAACCTCGTTTCACTTCACGGGCCAGCATGACAGTGACACCCACATTTTCTAAAATTTAAATATATTAACGTCAAATATATTCAGTAATATTACTTATTCACAATACATCTTAAAACATTTTCTTCTCACATCTTGTACAGCTATAATAATGTTGCCAAATTAAACTGGCATCTTAGTAATCCGCATTTGAAATACTTGTAGAAACTTGAGAAATGAGAAATGGTTGTTATTTTAGGGATATTATGGGCCAGTTTACTTTGTCAGTTTACTTTGGCCACATTATGAAAAGAATCGTCGATTTTCATCCATTTTGGTTCTCTAAGTTCTCGTTATTTTCAGCCATTTTCTGGAAATGCTGAGAGTTTTTGAATTCGTAATAGAGGGTGAAGAGGAGGTGCAGGGAATGAATTCTGTTTCTGAAATAATTGAATATATAAGATATTAAGATATCTTTAGAATTTAGTGGTGACTTTCTAATGGTGATTTAAAATAATGAATATATTTTTTAATCAGGTCTGAAATTCAAAAACTAAATGTGAGTGATAAATAATCTTGATCTATCTGTATCAAAGTACTCTTTATCTGTAATACTCTAGTTATAATTTTCGCTAAATTTAAATGTGACTTATTTGAGTTGGTACACAATATCAGTACTTACGTTTGTGTGGGAATATCCAGGATATTACAGATAATATCAACGTAGTCTTTCAGTTCGCAGTCGAGATCAGCACTGGGTAGGTTGATCTTAGATAACAATTCTTCAATCTCACTCGGCCACTCCTAGGGGACGTTACAATGTTATCTGCAAAATAGTGTTTTATAAAGTTTAGATAAAACACCTTACAAGTGAAGACATTTTGTTGCCTAAATATTACCAATTTAACAACCGAATACCGAATACTGAATACTGATTCATCCAAACAGATACCTTTGATAGAGAAAACAAAACTATGAACGCAACAAACCTCCATAAGGACATCGATATCAGGCATGTTTTTAGCATAGTGCACACTTGGGGGAGGTTTTTGTCTGTGTAGCTCAGAAATGTTGTTTATCCAACTGTCTATAGCTCGCGGGTTCTTCTCTGCTTGTTCAACACTGGACACCTGTTATAATAGCTGTTTAATGCATACTTCAAACTATGTTCCCATGTACTACTATGATTTTAAAGTAAATACGGGCAAGAACAACACTTTCCATCACAAGTAATATAAATAAATGATGAAATTTAACTCAAAAGCAATCTTAAATCAATCCAAATCTGTCAAGAGATTTTGACTTTTCAATTACTAAAGATCATGTAATGTACCTGCATAGCTCTGAAATGAGTTTGTTTGGTGATAGCACGTATCTGTAGATCCAGAACAGTAGGATCTGACTGTTTAGCACAAGGTTCGTCAATACAAGCAAGTCCTAGCTTATCTACAACAGCATCAGGGCGGGGTACTGTGATAAACGCATCTATATCTCCTACAGCTGGGATGAAGTCTGGTATGAAGGGCTTCAGTTTGTGGTCCAACTCAACCTGCAGTGAATCATGTGATAGATTAGTTGTAACTCAAGAAGTCAAGAACAATATAACTGAAAGTTTACAGTCACTTGGACACACTGTTATAAGATACAAGTACTGAAATTAACTGTGTTTAGGTGTAGCAATGAGAGATCTAGGTGCAAGAGTCATTTGAAACTCACCCAAACTGCAGGTAAATAGGTGTTACAGAGAAATGACATTGTCCCCATCTCATATTCACAATAACGTAAAACACTGTTTGTGGTGAACTTATGCGAGAATATAGCTCACAGCAAACTGACCTGTTGTGGAGTATATCTGCCGATATATTGGAACAACTCCTTTATATCAGCTGAGACAGGTAAACTCTCAAACTCAGCAGGATTGTATCCCCCCTCAAAAGGAGCCCCATGCTCATCTCCCTCCTCTTCCTCCTCTGTACTGTCATCTTCGTCATCTATCTGCATTCCTCCAACCAGCTTCTTGGGCACTTGTTCATTCTTAGTTAAACTGTACCTGCAGTTTAAATTATAAGATTGTGTGTTCATGAGGTTGAAAATGTAGAAAATGGTAGATCTTACATTCTCATTAAAATTAGTATGAATCTGATATTTTTGGGAACTGAGATGAACTACTTAATTAAATGACTATGCATTCAACACCAAAGCTTCATGTTCTAAGAGAATATGTAAAAAATAACAGTACCCGGTCTGGATGTCGTCATCATCCTCTTCCTCATCTTCCTCCTCTTCATCAGAGCAATTAGAGAGGTTCTGCTGCATGGGCTGAGCTCGTGGAGTTATTGATAATGCTGTAGGAACATCCTCTGCATCGCTCACATCAACGCTCTCATCATACGGAAGGTTGCTGACCGGTCTGTCCTCTTCCATGCACTAATTGACACAAATATGTCACAGGTTGATCATCTTAAGTCTTTAAAATTATCAAAAGATAAAGCTACTTTAAGATACAATTTATGATGTCATCACTGTATAAAGACTCTACCTCCACGTGTGTTCAACCGGCCATGTCTGGCATAGCAAAAAACTGTAAACTTTGAACTGCTTAAGGATGTGTTAAATCCCAGAGAAGCGCACATCCACTCAGCTGCTTTAAATCTCAGAGGCAGCAAGTGGCGTAATGAGGAGCCCTGCCCACCCCGCTGTGACGGGAATCCAAAAAGTGGCTTGGAATCAGGTCACATGATTTGTAAACAGTTACATTTATAAACATTTTTGCAAGGGATCATTAACAGGTATTTGAAAACACGTTTATGTTATTTTACCACTCGACTGCCAACTCATGACATTATTTCAGATTTTGAGATACAATTACATACTTGTTCTTAGCCTACAACCCAATTCGTCAATATCAGCACTTGATGGTGAAACTCAGGAGGAGTGTACATGTAGGTATCTATGGCTATATCCAGGCATCCCTTGGCTAGATTCTAGATTCAGGCTTATTCTACTCCAGATTTTGCAGTTTAAATAGAAGTGCTGACGAAAAGAGCTTTGGAAAATCACCACTTGAAAGGTTGTGGCATCAAATCCTGCCATTGACCATATTTTCAACCAAAATTTTAACTTTGTTCAGAAACATGAGTCAAACTATTTAGATGGCGGCTGAAACAAAAATTATTGATATGGGCAACTTAAATCAACAAGAAATGCGGCCGCTTTTCTTTTGTGGATGGCCGCTCAATTTCCCGATCCGGGATGAAGTATTTTATCATATTCCATACCACCTGGGGACCCCAGTCTTTGCGGTTTATAATAAGCATGCAGATATGGCGGAGTGACAGGCCGAGCGCCGCCCAGTTGATATAATTCTATATTGAATTTGAAAATCGTGTATATTTCTATGTAACCATATGTTTATTGTTTATGCAACCTGACACGGATTTGTGCAAAATAGTAATACTAACTCAAAATAATAATACAATGCTATCAATTTGTCCCTAGCGGGATGCGTACATGGTGAAATTAACAATGTACTTGAACATTTCAGCACCGCGCGCCAACAATTGTTTAATTAAGATGATTGCGCAAAATAACTTTGCGCAGGCAGACACGAGGGGCGATAACTAGACTGGGGGCGAGGGCACGTACGCACGCACGCTCGCACGGTCGCAAGCTACCATATACAAAAAAAACCTCGATCGCTAACCCTTGTCCTTGACTCTTTTGTGCCTTCGGCACTTAGAGTCATGGATCGGGAAAAAATTTTACTAAGGACCTCATTCCTAAATTCTTCAACTTCTGTCACTCATGCAAGGTTAGTCTTCAGTGCACCTCTCCTAAAGTGTCAAGGAGTGGCCTGTGGCTGATTGCTTTGCATGTTAAGTCCTTTTAGTAACTATTTTAATAACAGTGCCTTACATTCTTTGACATGCATTTATGAAATTTTTTAACGGGTGATACTCGTAAAATATCTGTACCATATATTCAATATACCGTCGACGAGTCCAACTCGGCGCGCGTCCTGGTAGGTTGTAAACCTACAAGCTGAAATAAGTTGACATCGTTGTAAAGTATGACCCGCCGCACACGAGTGCGCGGCTCCCCTGTACCGTATAAACTCTACAGTGAAACGACCGTGGGGGTCACGACGTGATACAAGTAAATATCTATGCATATATTCAATATTTAAAGATTTGACAATATCACCTATAAATATTACTGGGCCACACTCTGCCTGTCATTTTTGTATCACGTGGTGACCCCCACTGTCGCTTCACTATATAACTCTAGGCCCCTGTAGAGTCTCTACGATACAGGGGAGCCGCGCACTCGTGCGCGGCGGGTCATACAACGTGTGACAAGTCATTCCGCTATTTTTTCAATAGGTGTGTTTAGGAACACAAAAATCATTTTAATTTCCATTAAATGTTTAAAATATTACATTTTTACATATAACAAACACATTTTGATTGTGCACACGTCACGGAAAATTTGCTTGGGGACCCCAGGCTACCTATTGCTCTATCCAGAGCCCTTGCGCTTGCAGTAGCGCGCGCCCGCCTCACTTGTGAAACAAGTGAAACAAATTTTTTAGTGAAACAAATTTAAAATTTTATCCTTTATTTTACAATCATAATATTATAATATTTATAAGCCTCCGTTTTGAAAGTTTTTAAATTTTTAATATATTCACATTTCTATTTAAAATTCAATTTAATGTATAAGTCAATAACTGGCCGTCAAAGCCGCGCATTTTTAAAAACATGATTAAATTGTTTATGATTATACGACAAATAGAAATAAATTTAAAATAATTATCCGTGGTTTTTTTTTAAATAAATTATAATCTTACCTAAATCCAAAGCCAGCTTTGTAAAATTTACTTTTAGATCTTACCTGAGGACCCCAGGCTATTATGTTTCATTAACAATTTTTCCCGGTGAGAAACCCGCCCTTTTTCGGCAAGTCTCCCCAAAGACGGGGGGTTTTTGCGCTGAATTTCTGGGGCGCGCAAAAAAATGTTTTTTAAAAGATAAACGCATATCGGTAACCTTTTTAAAAGCATATGTGACAGGAAAATGGAACAAGCCGACAAGGAAATGTTGTAAGTTACCAAATGGGTTGCGTGATGATACCCTTTAAGGAAAATTTTTTTCAATTTTTTTTGGGGCCAAATTTTCAAGGGGAATTTCAATCCCCAAAATTGGACGGATCTAAGGGGTTCAGATGGTTTTAAAATATAATTTCTATTACTTAATTTTTAATTTTCACAAGCAATTTGCCTTTGCCTTTCCCCCACCAAAACCGACCCAAAGTCATTCCACCATATTATACATCACGTGTTAAAAAAACAAAACCGGGGGTTGAAAGGTAAAAAACCAAAACAAGTGGGAAAAAGGGGGGAAAAAAACACGAATTTATGTTAAAAATTTTTATTTTTAATAATTTTTTAACAAAGTAAAGATCAATTATAATAATTTAATTTTCTTAAAATTTTAAAAAAAGAAAAAGGTTAAAAGGGGTTTTAAAATTTTTGTAAAAACTATTGGGCAAATTTGCTTTTCACGAGAGTGCTCAGATTTTCCGGTATTTGCCCATTAAAAAAATTTCCAAAAATTTCACAAAAACACTCAAAATAATTTTCCCGCTTTTAAAAATTTAACCCGGGGGCCCCCCCGGGTTTGTTGGGGTTTTTCAAAAAAATAGTTATTTTAAAATTGATTTTAGTAAATATTTCTTGATTCATGACTGATTTTGGGGTATGAAAACCTAAAAAAGGGGGGCCCCAGGTAATAAAAACTAATTTGAAAAATATGTTAAAAAATTCCGATACGAGGGGTTATCATTTCCTCATGCCTAAAATATGCAATTTTGTTTGAAAAACAAAATGACATTAAAATCGGAGCACCGTAAGGGGTTTCTAAACAAAGGGGGACCAAACTGAAAAAGTAAACATGTGAAATGATTTATTTAAGACAGTCACTCGACCAATGCAAGGAGCATACTTTAAAAAGTACTACTTCAAGGGGGGGCCTTAAAAGCTATTTAAAAAAACTAAACCCAAAAATTTGGTGTAGAAAAGTATGTTGGGAAAAAAAATAACCCACGACTTTCGCCCAAAAATACCAAATCCCTTTTGTTTTGGGCATAATATCCCGGTTTATTACAAAGAAATTTTATTAAAAAAGAAAAAAAATTAAACCAAAAAATTTTTTTCCAAAAAGTTTAAAAATTTCCCTTCTAAGGCCCCAAAAGTTGGTTTTTGGGCCTTTTCTTGTGCAAGGGTCCCCTCTTTTGCCCCTAGAGGTTTGGTCTTTATCAAACAAAGGTTGGGGGACGAGGGTTTTTTGTAGGGGCCCTGTGTCCCTTTTTCAGGACTGGTGGGGAAAGGGTTTCCATGTCCCCCACTCTTGTATTTTTTAAGACTCTGGTTTAAAAAACGGGTTTCCGGGGGGGGCTGTGATTCAAGGAAAGGGGGCGTGAAAACCCAAATCTCAAAAATAAACGAAAACAACCCAAGGAGCCTCTTCTGACGTTTTCTTCTTCGTACAGTGAATTGGGAAACTAAATGAAAAAAAAGCCTTTTTCTAATGTTAAAAAAGTAGTTTGGGTTAGCCATCCTTTCGGCATGGTGGTCAGCCCAAAGGGCTTTGTATTGGAAAAAGTATCCTTTCTTCATATCTTGTTTGCATGGATTTTTTTAGTTTCAAGCTCTAGGAATTCCCCGGGAATGTTTTTTTTGGGCTGGGTTTTTTGAGGGGGACGGGTGTGATTAAATACAATAAAAAGGGTAGAAAATTTTTCGTCGTTCCTTTAGGCCCCCGTAGGGAAAATTTGGGGAAAGGGCGATTTTTCTGCGATAGAGTTTTCCTTCCCCAAAAAGGGTTTTTGATCTTTGAAAAGGGTTTCTTGAGTGAAAATTTTGTCAACCCAAAGTTGTTTGGGGGAAAATCCCTTTTTTAAACCCCCTTACAAGCTCCCCTCCAGGACGGATGGTTTGAGGCCATTTCCGGGGGTCTGTCCCATTGAAAAGCTGCGGGGGGGGAAGGGATGCCTTTTTTTGGGAAAAAACCCCGTATTGGATGTTTTCCCTTTTCAAATCCAACGGCTATTATTTTATTGCAGGGCCCCGGGCGTCGAGAATTTCTTTTTTTGGTTCGTCCCAGTCCTTTTAGCAAAAATAACCCAGTTTGTAACGATTGCGAGGATTTGTTCTCCTTTCTTGTAAAAAGGGCCCCCTAGCCATCCGGGTTTTTTTTCAAACCCTCCGAGGTTTTGTTTTCGTCCCAAAAATTTTCTGCTGACAAACATGGGTAAAGTCTCCCCCTTTTTTTCTTTGCTTTCTTACTCTGATCGGACTGTGACAAACCCTTTCCGTGGATTTGGAGGGAAAACTGCTTCCTAACCCCCTGTCTCCACCGGGGCGTGAGATTTCAGTTTTCCTCAAAAAC